TTTTTCAGTATATTTTGACATTAGTTTCGGATTTTTACAATCTGGGCGGGTAAGAGTACATGGTGACCAGATATGCTACAATACCTTTACCTCGACCGCCGGTCAGGCACTATGCGGCTCTAAAGGCTTAATATATGTTTCCCATTCCAGGTATAAAAAATTGTAGTACTTACTTGTGAATAATATAATTTGATAAAGAAAAATTCTCATGAATCCCCCCTTCATTTTTTAACAAAGATATTATTTAGTGATTCGACTCTTGTACACAAAAAAAGCATTTTTTTGTATCAGATAACTTGGAAATATAGATTTTTCTTCATACCTTGATTTTTTTTCTCTCTCAGCACACCTGCTTACAGCAAGTATCCTACTGCCGAAATCACCTGTACAGATTCTTATGTATCTTCTTGTTACTTGTATATCTCTGCAAAATTCTGCCGTGACGTCGTGGATATCAAGTGTGCTGGTATGTGTAAATCGTTGTTAGCAATTCTCATCGAAGTAACAAGAACTTGAAGTTATTCTCTACATCTCACCCTAATTTAGTATCACAGGTTTATAAAAAAAAAATTGATCTTTAAATTTCATAAGGTTTTTCCTCCAATATCCATCTTTGCCAAATTGAAAAATCTGTAGACTATTGCCAACCTACCACAAACAGTGAAATATATAAAGCAGAACACTTCAAACATTTGTCTCCTTTTTGACTATTGTTCCCACGTTTGTCAATGGCTAAATTTTACGTCTTATAAATATTATTGATGACGTTTACAATTCAGAATAACATTCCTATTATAAGTTTTTTATTACTTTTCTCACATGAAGAACACACAACGATGAAAACAACACCATCATCGAAACTAACGACACAAGTGACGACCTCCAAGATGAATATTCCAGGTTTGTATATAGAGGATATGATACGTAACTTTGCATATATTCTTTTTATATATAATTTATTGAATAAGAATACACCACCAATATTCTTTTTTTTTCTTTTATGAAATGTCAAGGTGATTCTAATAACTGAAAAAAATAAACTTCGAGCGGCATCTGAATAGGAGAAACTGGGTTGATTAAAATACATGTTGAAGATGTCGGAAGCAATAGCGAATATAGAATCTATTAGAAATAAAGCGATTTCTTAAAATCCAGTAAAAATTGAATTTAAAACTGGTCACATGCAACACAAAAGCATGTCTTTCCGAAGATTTCGTCTTTTTGTCGGAAGGATGTCAGATGTGAACAATAGAGGACTTTCGATAATAAATATTCATGAAATCTTTGTTCACCACACACTCTTGAAACTATTAATATCTTGATTATACATCCATCTCGAGAGAGCCATTTTGCAACCTACCTTAACTATACTGTACAGCAGGTTAAAATCGCGGTCGGAAAAGATCGCGATTTGTTCAATTTGCAGCAAATCGCGGTCGTTTGAATTCGCGGAAAGGAAAAATTATACAAAAACTTTTTCAGCACTGCAAATATTTTTCTTGCGTATTGTGTCGATTATGACCCCGATTAAATAGAACGAAACACCGTGCTGATCCCGATTGGATTAGAAGATAACATATCATACGATGTACAATGTTACGCATTCAGATAAATTTTCTTCTTTCTTTCTTGTGTTTTCTTTCTTTTTATTAAATATTTTTGAAATACATATGATTCTATACTCGAGTGATTTATTCAAGTGATTTCAAGTAGTATTTAAAACATTCATGTAAAAAAAGAAGCCATTTGGCAGGTGTTCGTTCATAGGTACGTTTTGAGTAGAGTACAGAGTAGTATTTACTGCAGTATATTTAAATCCCTTTGAATCTAAATCAGTTGTCACTACCGATAGTCAAAATGTTGAACTGTTGATAAAATTTAATTAATGTGTAACAGTGTTGTCTTTACAACGTAAGTGCCTTGATTAAAGATAATACATGTAGGACTGAGTGATACGCACGGGTGAAATCTAACAATACATGTTTTATAGATAATTACATCGCACCTCTACTGGGTGGCAGAATTAAATGTTTTTTATAGATGTTTATTTATCAATTGTTAACGTCTTAGTAATTAATCCGTACACTCGCATAATTAGGAAGACAGTCTACATCTCCTCTATATATCAATTACTGCTTTTATGTTTGCAAGGAAACACAAATAGAGTTACCGAATTTAATCTCAGATATCGGTAATATTTCAATTTATCCTTATCAATTTTTGAAGAATTATTCACTGTATGTTGAATTCACGGAATTTTTATTTCCGCGAATATAGCGAATATTAACTCCGCGAGTTAATTTCCTGCTGTACAGTATGTGAAATATGAAGATGACAAACAGTTATCAAGCTCAAACGTCCATTGGAACAATACAGATTTGGAGCAGAGCTAGCATAGACTTTTAAAATCATCAGAGATGAAATCAGGTGCCATGGAAGAGTAAAGATCCCCGGTCACAGCCGCCGTGTGCTCCTTGTCATGACCGGTGTCGCATAATTTAGTGTGAAAATAATGGTCTAACACTTTGTATGAAAACGTCAGTCAACATTCGACTTAACGATAGATTGTATTTAACAAGGCGATTGTATCGACTATAGTATTTTTGAAATCTCGACTTCAAACGAGACTGTTGATATTTTTTTATCATCAATTCACTTGTCAATAGGTTGCCTTGTTTTAGAAATCGTTCGCATGTAGAGTATGCTCTTGCGTATCGAATCAACTGGGAGACATAAACTCCATATTATGCAGGTGATAATGGTGTATTGATACATAAACAAAGGAAGTTGACGATAGAAAAGATAAAGTCATAAAGTTTTCTTGTCAGATTGCCATGAATGTCTTTTTCTAGTAAAATATCCAAATATGAAACAGGTGTGTCAGACTCTGTGTTGTCTTTTATTTTGATTTCAAAGGGATATGTCGAATAAATTAGAGATATAGTTAATTGATATAGCGTCGTCGATGTATCTAAATGTCGAATTGAAGGCCACAGTAGAGACTTCTTTACATATAGAAGTTTTTTGAGTAAATTGTTCATATGAATACAAATACAGGCTTGGTAATAACGGGGGGCTTAATTAGTACCCATGAGAATATGAGAATTCCAGGAGATTGTCAACGTATGCTCAAAACTACTTTGAGATATGTTTTCAACATCAGGTTTGTAAACACAACTTAACATATGAAGAATTAAGATTTTAATTTGATTAAAATTTGATGTCGTGAAAAGTGTAGTTTTTTCTAATTAAATGAGAGCAACTTCGTTAGCACTTCTACTTCTTTTCTATGTTTTCGGGGTTAGTTTTTCTTTGAGGGGGGTGGTGAGGGAGGAGGGAATATCAATCTCCTTTTAAAAAAAAATAAATAGGTACATCAATCTTAGTTAGGTTCATTATTTATATATCATTTGCGAGTGTTATATTTTCTTTCTATACCTACAGTTTATGCACGTACTGTAGGTAAGTATTTTTTTTTTCAAAGTATTAGTGAAATACATACACACCTTTTATACTTATGCAATGTATTGCACATTCCTTTGTTTATTTTGCATATAACTTTCTTATCTAAAAAAGTTGACACTGATTTACTTAACAAGAAAGAAGTAATTTTGTTCATTAAGATGAGTAAAATCTTGTTAAGCCACATATATTTGGTTTTTTTTCTTTCTTACAGTCTATACTCATAACTCCCAACAGAAACTATCATTGCAATTTTTTAATTATATCTCATAAAGTTTATATTTAAAATTATGGATTGTATAGGATATAATTGATCTCATAATACTTAATGGTACAGGCGTATTTGCTGTCCACTTTCCTTACCGACATGGAGGGCATGTGAAGCTCAATGGCCAAGAGATATGTTATAGTTCCTTTACAAAGACTGCAGGAGAAGCCCTGTGTCATTCCAAGGGTCTGAAATACAGTTCATATTCGAGGTATGTAAATCATGTTTATTTTGAGTACAAGGGACCTCCTTTCCTATTGCAATATTTTGTGATGCATTTCATTTCTATGTTTAAAAGAAATGTATGCCTTTGAAAAAAAAATCGGCATGACATGTTTTTTTTTAAATAACAACTCTCAATTATTGAAGAAGTGATATATGAGCCAGTAGAGGGTAGGAAAATTAAGGGATTTTGTTTTTCAAAAATTGTAAATATTGAGAATATTTGAGTGTCTTTGTGTTATTATGATGAAAACAAGACATACATATTCAAATATCTTCAGCAGAATTTTTTATGATCGTATAAACTATAATACTTTTCTGCATTTGTTTATTCAATATTTGTAGGAATTAAAAACCCATATTATATTACTTTGTCAATTTTTTTTTCAAAATTCACTTACAACTCTTTCGAAAATCAATTGAAAGGTTTTGACCTGAAATTCGACGTGCAACTTGAGTTATACATCGACAAAATACAATGAAGTATGTAGAGATAACGCACAGTATTCGAGCTCAAAAGTCCATTAAACATTACAAAATAGGAGCAGAGCAAACACGGGCCTCTAAGACATCAGAGATGGTATCAGGTGCCATGAAGGAGTGAGCATCCCCTGCCGACCGGTCACTCCCGCTGTGTGCTCCTTGTCATGATCGGGAAATAACGGAAAAATCCATCGACAATTCAGTGTGTAAATAATGGTCTAACAATTAGTATGAAAAAAGTCACTCAGCATTTGACTTAATGATATATTGTATTTGCTGACAAGTTCATTGTATCGACCATAGAACTTACGAAATAATGACTTTAAACGAGACTACTGATATTCTTGTTTCATCAACTTGTTTGTTAATAACTTAGTTCGTTTTAGAAATTGTTCATACGTAGAGCATGCTCTGGGGTATCGAGTCAACTGAGAGATATAAACCCCGTATGCAGGTGATCAGGGTATATTGCTGCATAAGTAAGGGAAATTGACGATTGAAAAGTTAAAGTCATCATGTTTATCATAAAGCTTTGTTGTTAGTTTACCATTAACATCTTCTTCTAATAAAATATCCAAATATGAAACAGATGTGTCAGACTCTGTGGTATCTTTTATCTCAAGCTCACCGGGATATATCGTGTCGACATAAGAGTGGAAATAACCATTGTTAATTGACAATACGTCGTCGATATATCTAAATGTCGAGTTGAAGTCCACAGCAAGTGTTTTCTTCTTTTCATGTAAAAGATTTTGAACAAATTCTGCTTCATATGAATACAAAAATAGGTCTGCTAACTAAACTCAAAGGCTACAGTAATAGTGGAAAATACATTCCGGAGTGAGAAAAGGAGAACATATTCCTACCTCTTTTACTGTTGCCCTGCGGGTACACTGATCAACACATTAAACAATTTTTTGAATATGAGAAAAAAATGGTTTAATTAATAAGCATTTTTTACCACCAAGTTATTTCATATTTCAGAACCTTTGCTTACAATCGCTATCGGTCACAGCTGATGCATTGTTCTTCCCCCGTGCTGTCATCTTGTTATATCTTTCAACGATTTTGTGATGACGTTGTCAATCTTCATTGCACAGGTTTGTTTTTAGTATTGAATAATTAGATCTATGTAATCTCTGGAAACCAAGTTTTCCAACAGTCTATTGGAATTTCCATGTGCACTTACCAGGTTTTCCAACAATCTTTTGGAATTTTGATGGGCTCTAAGTGTGCAGAACTTATCCAAAAACTTCAATAAGAGAAGGTAGACAATTTTTTTGTGTCTTCCATTTCGAAAGTTAGAAATATCAATGGCATTTTACCAAGTTATTTTCATTCATATTTTGATTCGATTTATCCCAGTGAACTATAAATGACCCCACAGAGTTTTCAACATGTTTTGTATTTGAATACTTTACTGACTATAGGTTAATTAACAATTAATCTAACACTTATATTATATGACAAACGAGATGATTTCATCTTTTCCATGGTCACATTCCTCTTTTTGTATACAAATGTTTATTATCACCTGCATCTGGTGTCAAGGTCTCCCAAATGATTCCCTACCGAATAGGTTCAGTATTTTAACCGAGGTAGTCTACTTATGAATTAGTTGATGTTACAGGGCCTGGGCTTTTGCAAATCTCATTTAAAATATATTTTAAAATTCTCAAATTCTTTGGTCGTTATAATGACCTTGCTAGAAATACAGCCTGGGTCGTATTTTGTCCGGCATGAATCAAATCATATATTAGTTCATTTGACAACAAATAAGTGCAGGTCACCCGCGTGGCGCAGTGGTAGAGCATCTGCTCTAGAGTCGCGTAGTAAGGAGTTGATCCTTACGTCGCGGATTCGAATCCCACTGTGGGACGTGGAGACCGGTCCTTCGGATGAGACCGTATAAACGGAGGTCCCGTGTCGCAGTAGGTGCTGGCACGAAAAAGATCCCTCACTGCTCAATGGCCCTGAGTGCCGAGCATAGGTCAAAATTTGCAGCTCTCCACTGGAAAGTGGTGGCATCTACATATGAGTGAAAAATTCTCGAGAGGGACGTTAAACAACAAACAAACAAACAAATAAGTGCATATACCTGACCACTTCAGAGGGTTCAATACGGTTGTAACCGGTCGACAGGGTGTGTTTTCTCATACAGAGCACCTTATCTCGCCTGTGGGGATTTTGGCCCGTTCATAATTATATTATTTACAGGACTTCACTCTTCATTATTTTCATAATTTTTTCATACAGCTCAAAAGGCTCTTTTAGCCATACATGCTTTTGTGAAGAAATTAGATTCAAATTTTGGAAAGAAATGAATTGCTACTTAACAAGTAGTTGATATAAGTTATTTTGATTCATATTTAGTGGGAATGTTGCTCAATTCAAAAAGAAAAGCTCTGAGCAAACTTAAATCATAGTTTATTGAGTTGTATAAAGGATGTAATTCCTGTAAGAGGAAGAAGAACAAAATACTAAAATGTAAAAAAAAAAATTCAATAATGAATGTTTAAAAATACGATAAGATAACAAAATTTATCAAATCCTTTGTTTGCGTCTTTGATTTGTAGCAAAACATTTTCTTTCCAAATTGTGTATTTAATTTGTTCACAAAGGTATGTTAGGCGATAAAAGTTATTTGAGCTGTACATATATAACTAAAATCAAAACAGAATCAGAAACATTACCATTCTTCTTATGAATTGTAAATCGCATTTTATTTACGATGCGAAAATAAATTTATTGTAAATGATAACGCTAAGAAATTTTTAAAATGAATTCTAGTATGGTTCACACAAAAATATATCTTTTTTTTAAGGAATTAAGAGATGTAATCATAGTCATTAGAAATACTTATATTTGCTGACTAAAGGTAGATGAGGTTTTTATGATGCTTTGATTTTATAAATTACTTTTACCACATCAACAGCCACTGTTGTACTTAGCTATTTTTGATTTTCTATTTATAGATATTCTTTTAGAAAGAAATGGCTAAAGCGTAATACTGATTAGTCTTTAAAATAGTATAACTCCTGGAGGTTTTCTTGCGGATAGAAATAAAAATAATTGCAATTTTATTTGCATCTATCTAATTAAACCAAACGTATAGACGGTGCCTCTAAAATCTCTGTTAATCATAAGTAACTGATGAAAAAAGAAATCAGTTTTCTTCTTGAATCATCGATCAGGCATATATTTCCATCGTTTCTGTTTGATACTAATGACACTTAAACACTTCACCGAACTAAGACGAGAAGAAGTTAGTTGTCGATGGAAGTCCCATTAGTTTGATTTCTTTATAAGGAGTATTATATCTTTATGTTAATTAGTGGTACATTTCTTCCTCATCAAATGAACTTTGTAATGAAATTAACTTTATTTTGAAATAGGTTATTCTACAGAGCCAATTGGTAAGTGAATATGATTTTAAGCATATTTCCTTATTAGATATTTAACCTGCAATCCTTTATAAATTTACTTACAACGGATTAATGATTTCTTTTGATTATTCATTTTATATATTTAATTATCTTTCACAGTTACAACAACCAGTGCGCCAACACGTGAGTTTTATATCTAGTCTTCAAAATGAAACTATCGAAACGATTCGAATAAATATTTAGGTACACATATAGATAATTCATTATGTTGTATGAACAAAAACATGTCAACAAATAAAAATTTATGTATTTATTCTTGGTCGACATTACTATATATAGATAAATAAACCTCAGTCACATTTATAACCCCACATATATTTTTAACTACATACCGTATAAGTGGAATTTTTAGCGAGACACAAATTTAGCGATTGATTCCCAAAAATTGGTATATATTTTGGTATATATTTTAGCGAGATGTAATTTTAGCGATTTTATAATGTCAAGAATGATAGATATAACAACCGATACGATATAAATTGTAAGCGATGTTCAATTTTAGCTATCTCAAAACCCTCGCTAATAATGCCAAAATTAAATCCTCGCTAAAAATTCAGCCTTTACGGTAGTTTTTTGTTTTAAAGTTGTGCGACTCGTGAACGGAAGACTTGAAACTGAAGGCAGAATAGAACTGCTGCATGATGGGAAATGGGGAACGGTCTGTGATGACGACTTTGACAATCTCGACGGTGACGTCATATGCAAAATGCTGGGATATAGAGGGGCCAAGTAAAAGAATTTTTTCTAACTCTCTTCAAAGGTTTTTTTTTCTTTTTAAATAAATATTTCGGGTTTCCAAAGTTTCGGCATGAGCATCACTGAAGAGACATAATTTGTCGAAATTCGCATCTGGTGCATCAAATTGGCACCGTATATGATTTACATTATGACCCCTGGGTCGAGGCCTCTGCTGGTGGACTGTTAGTACCCGAGGATCTCTACAGTCCAGTACCTAAGTACTTCGGTACTAGCTTGAAAATACGGATATATATTTAATTGCTTTGGTAAAATTCAGAAATTTATTTCAAAATAAGTAAGTATTATCTCCCTCATGCATATCTCTGATCCTTCGATGTATTTGGCTCCATTCTTTGTAACCCCCTTTTTCAGCTCTTCAAAGTTTTTTTTTCCCTTTATATAAATATTTCGGGTTTCCAAGGTTTCGGCATGAGCATCACTGAAGAGACATAATTTGTCGAAATGCGCATCTGGTGCATCAAAATTGGTACCATAAATGATTTACATTATGACCTCTGGGTCGAGGCCTCTGCTGGTGGACTGTAAGTCCGCGAGGGTCTCTACAGCAAAGTACCTAAGTACTTCGGTACTAGCTTGAAAATACGGATTATATATTTAATTGCTTTGGTAAGATTCAGAAATTTATTTCAAAATTAAGAATTATCTCCCTCATGCTCTGATCCTTTTATGTATTTGGCTCCAGTCTTTGGCACCCCAATTTTTCAGCTATCAAAGATTTTTTTTTTCCTTTTTATATAAATATTTTGGATTTTCGAAGTTTCGGCATGAGCATCACTGAAGAGACATAATTTGTCGAAATGCACATCTGGTGCATCAAAATTGGTACCGTATTTGATTTACATTAAAAAAGTTATTTTTCTCAAATTTTCATGATATCTCTTTATGCTTAAATTATTCTACTGAAATATTGTTGCGCTTAGCAAGAATTTTATTCTCGATGCATTCTGTTTAAATTAGTATATAACAAGTTAGTAATTGAATTTTAAATGACTTAAAATCACATATTCCTTATTTGCTGTTTTTAAAATTTGTTCAAAATCATGTATAATGTTCCTTATGTTAAGCAATCAATCAATACTAAAAAAAAACACCTTTGAATGAACCGATGAACTTATCTCCTTTGGGAAAACATTTCAACAATAAACCTTTCTTAGTTTCATTTTATAAATTCGCGTTTGAAGAAGAGTTTGCGAGTAGTAAAAAAAAGTATTATACTCAAATTTATCACAAAAATGTAATTCACAGTGGTCTGTGCCCTGAAAAACATTCATTTAACATTAAGAATATCATTTAAATTGCTGCAAACACAATTTACTGTTATAGCTGTAACTAGTGTATAGATTTTTATTATGTTTTATACCGTGTAATTTCGTTAACAGTCGTGTATTTGGGACAGCTCATTTCTCCAATGGCTATGGCCCTATCTGGCAGGATAACTTACACTGTATTGGCAATGAGACAGATATAGGAGACTGTCTTTCCAATGGTTGGGGTAACACAGACTGTGGTCATGGAGAGGATGCTGGCGTTTCTTGTGGTGAGTAGTTTTGTCACTGAATCGGTGATGTTCTAAGAGACTGTGTCTCCAATGGCTGGGGTAACACAGCCTGTGGTCATGGAGAGGATGCTGGCGTTTCTCGTGGTGAGTAGTTTTGTCACTGTATAGGTCATGATTTAGAGACCTGTGTCTCCAATGGTTTGGGTAACACGAACAGTAGATGCTGGATTGTAATATGGTGAGTAGTTTTGTCACTGTATAGGTAATGATTTAGGGACCTGTGTCTCCAATGGTTTGGATAACACGGACGGTGGATGCTGGATTGTACGAGGGGTGATCAAAAAGTTCGCGAACTATTTCTATATTTAAAAAAAAACACAATTTAGATCAGAATGAAATTTGGCACACATATAGTCATACACATGTTCTATAAATAACAGATGTTAAATAATGTTTTGCTCCGTGTTTGTGACGTCACAATGTGAAAATGACGTTAATATGTAGGTCACTTGTGACAAAAAATGGTTGACTCAGTCGTACTCGAGCAACGAACGGCTGTAAAGTTTAACGTATATCTTGGAAATTCCTTTACAGTAGAATATGATAATTTGTACAAGGTTAATGAAGATAAAAGACTTACCAGAAGTTCAATCACCAATTGGATTGATTGTTTAAGTGAAGTCAGGGAGATGGTTAAAAATGATGTTTGTTCTGTTGCCCAGCGAAAGCAAGCCGGGGAAAAGTTGTGTCCTTAGTTGAGCAATTTGTTATGAAACATCGTCAAGTTACAATTAGAATAATGGTTGAATATCTTAACAATAATATAATTATTATATCCCTAAAATATCGTTTACTTTAGACTTTAAACATATGAGATATGATAAAAAGAAGGCGCCCATACTTTATCCACATTGGATAAACGACGTTCCCGAGACAGAGGACTCGGGTTGTGATGGGTCACCATACTAACTGTGGGAAGGGATATCCTTATCCACCCATCCTATTGCCGAGATTTGGCCATTTCTGACAGATGGAATGTTCTTGTTATAAAAAATATCTTGCATGGTAAGAAATACAAGACTCGGAAAAATCTTTTAGCTTCTCTGAACAGACTGCTACAGAGCATGTCACGTGACTGCCTGGATCACATGACTCGCGCATGGGCAGAACAATGGCAGATGTGCATTAAAATCGGAGAGGACTACTTTAAAAAATAATAAACACTGAAACCTCATTTTATTTCTTTTAAGGAAGTTATTCAATTAGTTCGCGAACTTTTTGATCACCCCTCGTAATATGGTGAGTAGTTTTGTCACTGTACAGGTAATGATTTAGAGACCTGTGTCTCCAATGGTTTGGGTAACACGAACAGTAGATGGTGGATTGTCATATGTTGAGTAGTTTTGTCAAACTAATGAGACAGACATAACTTTTATTGAGTGAGTAGTTTTTGTCACTGTCACTTTACGTTTAAAAAATAAACTTCATGAACAAGTTGATAATTTATGCAAATGTATCCGTACCCTTTCAAATTAAATTCAACATCATATTTATTGTATTTTTCCTTTGTCATTTTAAAATGGGTATATGCATATTTTGTTACCCTAACCTTTAATCTATGAAATAGAACACTAAATATTTCATAAAGAATCAATACTATCAGCAATAATATGTATATCACAATGTCATTTATCTTAGATCCCTACAGCTTTGGACATTTCTCTTCCTTCCAAAGAACAACAGTGGGTAATCCTTGTGTTTTAACATCTACTCCCTGCCTCAATGGCGGGACATGTATTGTCAACGCTAACTATGGATATACATGTCAGTGTGCGCAAGGATTTGGGGGACCGTACTGTCGAAATGGTAAATATATATTCTTGTACGAAGCTTTTCCTACATTAAAATTAATTTGTATCATTGCTGCGGTATTTTTCCTTTGATGTCCACTGTGTTTTTATTTTTGATACACCATGACTAACTGTGCTCTAACAACCATGCTCTATCAAAATAGAACACACCAGGGTAATGATGCAACAATTCTAATGACCTTTGACCTTACATTGATAAAGAAAAAGAATATAAACAAAGTAGCTGACTTTATGAGCAAAATACAAACACATATAAACATAGTGAAGGTATACCTTTCCTTAGGTCTGCATAAAAAATTCTAAATTTTGCACGTCAATTTTTTTAAAATCCAAAACGAAATTCACACAGTAAGCACATTTTTATAAATGAATGTTTTCGTCTCTCATAAACTTGAAGCGTAACAAACCACACACAATAGTACATCATGTCTAAAATGTCTCCTATATCGAAATCCATAATAGGTTCAATTTTTAGTTCTGGTAGATTAAACGTCACGCTTCCAAAGAATCTTCAACCTACATCTGGTTTCCTAACTGATCTAAGGAATTTTCCTTCATAATTTCGGTTTCCGTGTCTATAAGAATTGCGAAAGCATAAAATCACAACCGTCATCCAAGGCGTTCAGAATATGAATGGAGGTACTAGAAAGTTCAAGAAATACAGCGCGCTATACTTTTCGAATCACGTGCTCTTTTTTCATTGGTATGATGAAATTTTGATAGATCATTGCTAATTCAGTGCATGAGAATATGTAGTTGAATTAAGTGCTATTAACGTGAATTTGATAGATCACGGGTAGCTCAATACCTGAGAACAATGATACAAAACATATAGAGTACCTTGTAACTCGTGCATCTTCAGATATCAGAGGACAAGCCCCCTCGTCTGATATCTGAAGATACACTCGTTAAAAGGTACTCTATATATTACATATCCTATAGAGACAGAACCCTCTTCTTTTCATGGGAGATGTGTATACAATCGTCAGCAAATTTCACAGGTTATCTAAAACTTGTGCGGAATTTCCCTCGTTAGATAAGGTTAAGTTTGCATTGTGAACATGTTGTAGTGCGGTCAGGTGACAGGGAGAAGAGGAAGGTAGGTTTAGTGAAAGATGCAGACTTAACAAAAGATTCAAAGGGGATTTAAGATAAAGTATTCAGTATTGTCATTTTTGCTTCTTTTAAGTTACAGTTATTGGTTCTTGTTAATGTCTTTGACACGTCAAAGGAGAGAAACATATGTTCAGTAAATGAATTGTTTTCGAAAACTATTGCCAACATGTCGTGGACTGGTCCTTCAAGATTTGCTAGACATACAATCATTATATTTTTTCAAATATAACCTTTATTATCATACTGTTTTCACTTTAATATTTCCTTGTACTTTTTGCAATATGGATTTTAGAAAGGTACTTCATATGCATTTATCTGAGCTTCTTATTTTATTCTATTTTTAGGACTTGCACGAACAACACCAAAGGACGCTTGTCATAACAACCCTTGCCAAAATGGCGGCACTTGTTATCAAACTAGTCCCCAAGATGGTTATCATTGCCTGTGTTCGAATGGTTATACCGGGAACTCCTGTGAAACTATTGGTATGCAACGTAATTCCAAAATTAATGTTTTTAAGCCATTATATACCATCATTTTAAACTTTTTCTACAAACTCCGATTTATTTCTTCTGAAAGTTTTGTCTACTTCTATATATATGTGAGTTGTAAAATAAACTTTATTTTGAATTTAAATATTTGATGCTAATTTTGTAACCCGAATGAGGTAGGGAAATATTGTTATTGTTCCATCTATAATTGTGTTCACAGGTATTCTCACCGAAGGTTCGGATAATCTTAATGAAACTTTACAGTATTAATCGTCATCAATTCTAGTTGTGCATGCAACATTTATAAATTTTAAGAAATATGAAAATGTTAAAATTTAAGTGTCTCCCTAAGTTTCTGGGATTTATTGTGTCCTCTCTTACATTTTCAAGGTAGAATTTTACTTGATCTCATTATCATTTCAGATATCGACCCGAAGTCAATCGTCTCGGTTGGGTGTCTTGACAGCGCATGGAACATTACTGTACACATTCCATCTTTACAAGCAAAGTACCCGGATTTCAATCCTAGTGAATGTTACATAGGCGTAGATAATGTAAATTGTACAGGACAAGTAAATGGAAGTTACTTATACTTCAGGCATGATTACTCAGAATGCAACACCAAAGAAAAGGTAGATTTTAAGAATATATAGTTTAAATTTAGTGTTCAAAAATAAACTGTTATAATTGAATGCCATAACAAGTTAAAGGGGAAGCTGCAATTTAATAAAGTAATTAAGTAATAAAATACATGTCATCTCTTTCGATGTTATATTTCTGAGGACATACATATATATATATATATATATATATATATATATATATATATATATATATATATATATATATATATATAAGTATTAAATTAAGGCAAATTTAAACTTAAAACTTTAAACTGGTCAAAGTTTGTCAAATTATTAATATTCCAGATTGTAACAGTAATTCAGTTAGATTAATTAATACAAATCTGCTTCCAGTATGCCTCTTGTATCTTCAGAATTCAACAGAAGGTGTGGAATACAGAAGTGAACTGGTTTGTCCCCGTCATGATCGACTCTACCACTTCATAATTCGAGAAATTCGACTCCGCAAAAATCTTCTTTGCAAATTCTTCTCCATAAACAGTGCTTCCTCCACACTAAGGGATCGACTTGTCCACCTTCAGTTTTTCTCTGATCCCTCACTCTCACGTTCTAAGAATTTCCACAGTTCTAAAGTTGGAGAAAAACTGTATGTAAGAGCATTTAGTGACGTCACAGATAGCACTCTCAAAATGAGGCTGTCACACTGTTATACCACACCAGCAATCGTTACCGACTCGAAGATGCAATATTTCATCATCAGAAATGGGTAAATTATTTGATTTTTGATTCTAATTCTAAAGAATTTCATTGTCTATCAAAATAGAAGAAAAATAGATACAATTTTTATCTGGAACCTTACATTTCTAGCTCCAATTCAAAGTTTTAAGGGCACGTATTTAAAGATAAACTTATAAACGTGACCAAATAATGTAAAACTCCTTTCCAAACATACTTTCGAATATTTTTTGAACTAAAATGAAAGTTATGGAGATAACAAACAGTATTCAAGCTTAAAAGTCCATTCAAACAATACAAATCAGGAGCAGAGCAAACACGGACCTCTAAAACATCCGACTTTTACTTGATAAAAGCTGTTACTTTTCTTGCAGGTGTGTAATTGATCCAAATGCAGTGATTTTTTATCAGTCTGCTCATGAAACAAGGTTCTCTTTTGAGTATTTTGAGTTTACCACCAGTCATGACTCTATGAACCTATACTGCAACGCTACCTTCTGTCAATCTAATGATCATTCTCCTGCCTGTCAACCCACGTGTCATGCCCACGTGATCAGAAGACTGAAGGGAGATAAGGATGAAATCGATTTATCAGATGAGGATGGCACTTTCCAAGTAGATATGGGTATGTTTAACAAGAATATATAGCAAAACATTTATTTTTCTGATTGTTAGACATTTACTATTAATTATCCTTTTACAAAGGAAGATATGTAACAAAAATGATAAAACAAAGACTTAGACAAATGTCACCTAACATTACCGATGACCCAGAATTAAGCATTCCCTCATTCCATCATTCCATTTTGGAATGCAATGGAAAAACAGTTCTCCCTTACGATGTGTATAAACGAAATTTCTAATAGTTAGATGCATATAATATACTCAGTCTTTGTTACTTGTAGATAACAAACAAGTGGCAAAGGTCAAGTCAAAGAAGACCACAGATCTGACGCCAGCTACTGTTATTTCTGTTATAATTGGAGTCTGTGTTTTAACGTTGTTAGTCATTGCAGTGGCAGTAAAAACAAAACGGAGCAAGAATATTCTGAAGTTATGAAATTCCTACCTCATTCCTCCTCATTCCTACCTCATGTCTTGCAAGACCATTATTTTTCCAGTTTATGGACCATAGAGGCAAATAGTCTAATGTTTATCAATAGTGGGGCAGGAGCATGTTTGCACTTTAAATCCATAGAAATGCCCTTTATATTTGTAAAAGAAGGTGTAAAACTGGATGCCTCACTTCAAAATACATGTGTAGTGGTTGGTTTGTATTTATTGTCAACCGCAAAGGGACATGAAATCTCATTCGTTTGTTAGTCTGTCCGTCTGTCGCAAAAAACTTTAACCTTGGTCATAACTTTAGAATGAACAAAGACAGGGCTTTCATATTTCACCTGTACACTATCTGTGATAAGGCCTTTCCAAAAATACCATGGTTTTTGACTCCCTGACCTTGACCTTGAAGTTTGGTCTACTTTTAAAAAGTTTCACATTAGTAATAACATTTGAATGAGAGAAAATAGGATATTCTTATTTGATATGTGCACAACTTTCCATATATAATATGATTTTTGACCCCGTGACCTTGGAGTTTGAACTTCTTCTCAAAAAAATGTTAACATTGGTGATAACTTCTGAATGAGAGAGGACAATGCATTCATAGTTGATGTGCATTACCTGTTACAAGGCCTTTCTGAATGTACTATGGTTTTTGACCTCTTGTCCTTGAAGTTAAACCTATAGTATTTTTCAAAAATTTTAACATTGGTCATGAATTTTAATTGAGAGAAGATAATCCTTTTACGTTTCATATGTACATTACCTGTGACAACACTTTTCAGAAGAAAAAAATCTCTTCATTATCATGACGTAGAAGTTTGACCTACTTATTTACATATTTAAAGTTAATCTAACTTTGACCATAACTTTTGCTCTAATAGAGACAGGGCTTTCGTATTTTTTCACTTGAGCATTTCTTGTGACAAGAGATTTCGGATTGTATTTTGATATTTGACATCTTGAAGTTTGGTGCAGTTTAAACAACTTTAATCTTGGCCGTAATTTTTATTAACAATTTAAATCTTTTTTATCTAATGGACAGACAAGACAGGACACACAGACACGACAGTTACAACATGCCATAAATAACTGCATTCCAACCACTAAGACACCAAAAGCGCCTGATTACAATTCTTAAAATTTGCTTCTTTTTTTATTTTGTATTTATATATATGGTACTTGAGTTTTTCTTATATTGAAATTTATCTTTGTAAATAAAGATGTTTTATTTAGGAATGACTCTAATTCTTGGCCAAATTATTCGAGTATAACCTGGTTTGGGTCAGTTTACGCTTTTTACGCTTTATAATCCGCGAAGCGGATTATAAAACAGCGTAAACTGACCCAAACTAGGTTATACTCGAATAATTTGGCCAAGAATTAGAGTCATTCCTTATAATTTAATTTTAAAATCATTAAATAACTATGGGTGTAAAATTTCGTTGCTTTTTATTAGTTCAAATTTGCCGCTCAATAATACAACCGTAGTAACGGAAGTGATGGGAAGCAAGGGGAGGTAAAAACTGATACATAGGCCTAGAAGCCTTGTTGTTTGTTTACATGCGGTAAGATCGAATTATTGTTTGAAGTTAAAGGTACATTTATTAAATCTTAATTTTTCCATGAATCCCGAGGACTGGAAATGAGAGGATTGTATGGATACAGATGATTCAGCTGGTTGTCGGGGGAGGGGGGGGGTGTCCCCATACCAAACCAGGTTATACAGAAATAATTTGTGTTCCTTTTTGGATATTAACCAATCAGAGGCTAGAATACAAACAAAATTAAATTATTTCTATATCCATACCAAGCATAGTTCGGGGTATAAAGAAATATCTTTGTCCTTCTTTCTAAGTGCCTGAGCTTTAATATTTCGATAGAGAAAATTCCATACTTGGCAATAGGGTTACTTATGACTTGATGGTTTGTCATGAACCTAGGCCAATATTATTTGGACAAGGACACAATTCAGTCTGTGCTTGTTTTGGCTATATATATGGACCGTGGATATCGGCCGGGATAACTATGTCGTTAAAGCACCCGACTTGTAACGCAGGGATTCTAAATTTGATTTCCAGCCCAGCTATAAATTTTCTCCTTTCCTATTGCAAGGTTAAAACCCTCTTCTGTGCCACAAATTACAAGATAATACTGTATACGTGTACATAAATTGGCGTATTCAAAATTTTGCGCAATCACTGGATATTGAGTTGTTGGCGTATTCATGAATTAGCGCTACACACAAACGCGCTATATATTGTATTTATACACGATTTATTAACGGTATTCGTGAATTAGCACATCGTTGTCTGCGCCAAAGCTGCTAAAATATGAAGCCCGCTATTTTAAGTACACATACAGTATTAGACATAAAGGCTACTTATGATCCGAGAGTGTAATTTGATAGGCCAGATGGGCATGGATCAAAGTTGCAATTTATGAAACCCGAGTCAATGTAATGTAGACATTGTAGACGCTAACATTTGAGATTGCTTTAGGCATATAACCAGATGATTTGTCGTAACTTCAAATCAATTAGACATGGATAATGCCATGATCACATCATGTGGCCAAAAACAAACAAACTTTAAAAATGACATTTTCTTTGAGCCATATATACAGCATTCTAGTTAATTTAGCTAGCATTTCTTTGTAATTCAGATCGGAAACGGAGTTCCAACAGCCATCTTTGTCTTTAATCACTATAACGTGTGCTTTAATTTTGCAGTATTTTAATCCACTGCATATACAAGGGAATGTTGCCTTACATGTAACTAGTTACTAGTGTGTAACGGGGGGGGGGGGGGGGGGATTGCATCAATGTTGACACTTATTACATGTTTTGATATATATTTTTCAATAGAATGTACAGAGAGATCCAGGCGTTTACAGAGTCATATTGGTCCAACACTTTACGTCACAATATATTATCTCGGCTCTCCATTCTTAATAATGACATCAGATGCATGTGCATTTCAGTTGATATACAGGGATCCCCGACCTTTCAAACGGCGACAGAACTTCATTTCTATTATGAATTATGTCGAAGATTATGTCAGACGTTGGGCGAAATATGAAGAGGAAGACCTGAACACTTTGTCAGAATGGATTAAGTGTTATATATATATATATATATATATATATATATATATATATATATATATATATATATATATATATATATATATATTAAAGAATCGTGTTAGAAATTTAAAACCATCTATCCTTCCATTTTCACTAAGGAGGGGATAAAAGAATTTGAAAGACTACATGAACAGTATGTTATGGTTCCAGCAGACAAGGCTTGTAACAATATCGTCTTTGTTTGTAAGGCTCATTATTATAACTGTGTATTTTAGTACTTGAAATCTTACTCATACTCACTTTCTAAGGATGAAATTCTTCAAAATCACATTTCAGTCTTCAATACTTTCAATATTCTAGTAAACGAAGGATCGTTTGACCTATCCTATCTATACTGGATTCCTAAACTTCGCACAAAGATGCATTGCCGGGTCCAGCAAATGCTCTACCAACCCCCTATCTTAATTCCTCACAAAAATAATAACTGCTGCAAAGGAGAAATTTCAGAGGTACTGTGCTACAGCAAATTCTAGAAGTGGTGTAAAATTGGATTCTCAAAAACTCCAAAGATCTCTCAGAAAATGAAATCACATTTTTTTTTCTCATAGTAACATCAAAGCCTATGACTTTTCTACACTTTATACAACCATTCTTCACAATAATTTAAAAACTAGGGTTTATGATATCATAAACATCTGCTTCTTCCATAGAAATGATCTTGAGATTGGTCATCAACAAAATTACCTTGTTAAAAATCACTCTGATTCTACGCACAATTACTTTGAAGTTGGTATCAAAAAGATGCTGGAGTTCCTCATTGACAACAATTATGTAATCTTTGGAGACCAGGTCTTGCAACAAACTGCTAGAATTTCGATGAGCTCTAACTCTGCTCTTTTATCAGCCGATCTGTTTTTATATTCCTTTGAAGCAGAATATAATCAAAATCTTCTACATGAGAAGAAAACACTTGATGTAGTCTTTAACTCGACATTCAGATATATCGACGACGTTTTATCGATTAACAATAGCTACTACCATTATGCCTACTCGATTTATCCAAGTAAACTTGAAATAAAAGACAACACAGAGTCTGCCACATCTGTTGTATATTTGGATGTTTTACTGACTATAGAAGATAAGGGCAAACTATAACAACTAAACTGTATGACAAACGAGATGATTACAGCTTTCCCATCGTCAAGTTGCCTTATTTATCCAGAAATATTTCGTTTTCACCTGCATATAATGTTTATGTCTCCCAGCTTATTCGATATTGAAGAGCATTCTCCGAGTACGATCAATTTTTAAACCGAGGAAGGCTTCTGACAGATAAGTTGGTGTTACAGGTATTTCAACAACCTCATTGGGTCGTATTTTGCCTTTGCTTTTACTCTAAATTTGACTACGGAATATTTCATCTACCTGATCAATAAATAGGGCCCACAGCGGGTATGACCAGTTGACAAGGGATGCTTTTTTTCTCCTTGGCATACGATCCCACCTCTGGAATTTCTGGGGTCCGTGTTTTACCGGTATGTCCTGTTTAGTGATTTGTATTGTTTATAGGTTGTTGTTGTTTTTTTTTAGATCGATCACTGTTCGTTATCTTCACCTTTTTTATTGACCTGGCCGTTACCTGTAAATATTGAATATCTGTAGGCTGTAGTAAATATACAACTCGTGAAAACTACGCCTATGAAGATTGTTTCACTCAGCCATCTTTAATACATAGAAAGCTGCCTGAGTTAGGCTATATCAAAATGAAACAAGTTAAGTTGACGCAAAGCATCAAATCGGCCACAAAAATATATTTAGCATTTTAAAGTATTTCCACGAAAAAAAAGAGTCCAAAGAAAAAATTCAACGTAGAAAAAGTATATAATACATTTTTTTATAACTGTACGATTGCCTTACTTTCAGTGCAATTTTTAAACTTAATTTACAGTGATTAATTGTTAATCAAAATTAATAGATTCATGGATATGAAAATTGGACTGAGATAAAAAGATAGGAATGTATTATCATCAAATTATTTGATTCAAAGGCAAATGCAACAATATCTAAAAATAATTTTATATTTAACACAGGCCCATGTTGGGGGGGGGGGGGGGGCAGTCCATGTTACAACTTTTTACAAAATCATAAATTAAGAAATATCTGATGAGAAAAACAAATTGAAACGTAATAACAACCATTTAGACTTAGTATTAAGCAAATTTTCAAAACTATTATTCATAACTTTTATGCATGTTATCAATAAGGAATTTTTCCATCGAAGCAATGATAAAATAACATCTCATTTCTCCACCTGCACATTCTAACACAACCACAAATAGATCGGTTGCCGATAATGATGTTATAATAAAGGCCCATGGGCCACAACGCTCACCTGAGTTACTTTAATCCTGCTGTTCTTCAAAACATTGAGATTTTCATATTCCCATGAAAAATTGAGACCCCATATTATGGCACTACCCTAACTTTACGTGGTCTTTGAATCCACACACCCTGGGGTACTTCAATATCAATAATGACTAATATGGCCCTCCAAATTTGAGAACAAAAATTCTTTTCCTGCATTATGTAAAACTTGATCCTGATTTTAGCCAACTCTTAACCCGTCAGGCCCGTAGGAAGCAATTTCAGTTTGGGGGGCACAGCCATACATTTTTCAGTTGACGTTGAGGGGGCACTACCAAAAATTTCCTGACAAGCAAAAAAAAAAAAAAAAAAAGGTCATCAGACGTTTTTATTGAGGGGACACAAGCACACGTTATCTATGTTTACTATAGTAATCTATGTATCGGCAAAATTATTGGGGGAGCACCCCCCCCCCCCCCCCCCCCCCGGTTCCTACAGCCATGCCCGTGTCCATGATTTGATGAAAAAAATATATAAATCCACAGAACTTGGAAATGTTTGCAAATTAATGCTTTCTATGGTCTCTTTAGATTTTTTTTAATTAATAAAAATTATTATGTAATTCCATGCAAAACTTTGATCCACTATTGTGGCCTCACCCTACCCAAGGGTTCATGATTTGAAGAATTTAGATTCTACACCACCTGAGGATGCTTCCATATTAATATGACCAATCAGGGCTTTGCTGTTCTTGAGAAGAAGAATTTCAAAGATTTTTCCCATATATATATTCCTATATTAAACTTTGATCATCCATTGTGGCCCCACCCTACCCCTGGGGGTCATGATTTGAACAAACTTGAATCTACACTACCTGACAAAGAATCCACATGAGTTTCATCTTTCCTGACCCTTGGTTCTTGAGAAAAAAAATTTTCAATGATGCCAATAATTTTTCGCTATTTTGTAATTATCTCCCCTTGGAAGAGGGCCAAATTTGGTTGAAATTGGCCCAGTAGTTCTGAAGAAGAAGATGAAAATGTGAAAAGTTTACAACAACAATGACAAACAATGGACAAATTTTAATCAGAAAAGCTCGAGTCTTCGGCTCAGGTGAGCTAAAAACAAGTGTTAGAAAGCTCAGGTGAGCTAAAATTTTAAAACATATTTTTTGGTAATTTTATTTTGAATGAAAAAGTCTGGACTACATAACTCAAATTTACAAAAAATGAAAATTTATTTTGATCCTCATTAATCCAATTGAATTCATCCATTTGAATAATTTTTTTAATATCAGAATTTAGTACAACAGAGTACGTCTAGATTTTTCCTTAATCATGATGGACAAAAACATCCAAAGGTACTGGGTACAGGATGGATTTACAGCACTACAAAAAATTGTCACTCAGAACATTTAACAAATTATAATGACACAATGCTAGTTAAGAATCATGTCACCAAAAGATTTCAACAAATTACAATTACACAATAATAGTAACTGAACATGCTGTACAATATCATTTATTTGAAAAGAGAAATATATACATGTATTTAATGCCAAAAAAAATTAATCGATAGTTTCTCAGGCACCGCCGCATCGGGTCAAAAACGGCCGCATTGATCAATTTTATTGACATTCTGAAAAGGGAAATAACTTAATTTTCTATTTTTCCAAGTTGAAAGAGAAAATTGAGTTATTTCCCTTTTCATAACAAGAACAGATAGACGTCTATACAGTCCTTTGTGAATCAACTTTTAAAGAAGTGTTTAGAATAACTTAATTTAAAGTTGAGTACATTAAAAAAAAGTACATTGAGAGAACAGAAAAAGTAAGAATCAGTTAATATCATCATTTTGTTGAACGACTGACATGAAAAAAAAGATACCCGCTTTAAAAAAAAAAAAAAAAAAAAAAAAAAAAAAAAAACTGCCTGCCTGCCGCATTGAATTTTGAAATTTTTGGCCTGAGAAACTATTAATTAATTTTTTATAGCCTAAACTCTTCATATATATTACCTATAAAATTTCTAATCCATAGCCATGTACTGAAACAAAACCTACGACTTCATCAGGAATACAAACAATTTGTATGTGTACATTCTAAAATGACCTATGGCAACCATGAACAATGAAACACTTATTACGGAAAAAAATCTACATTATTTAAAAGATGTTCAGACACTGTATGTATACTTTCCACTTTTTTTAAAACAAATGTACCAGATTATTCTAAAAGCTGCAAGAATCAACACAATAATTAGTTCTAACACTATCCTTCCCCCATACAGTGTATTTCTCTCATGTTTACTTCTTCCTTCCTCCTCTCTCCTTCAGCTGCAGAGAGATAGTGCCTCCCTGGACCACATTGTAGTAAGCCAAAGAATTGGAATCTTTTACAAAAATACCCTGAAACAAAGAAGAACAAATGACAAACAATAGAAATACAATATACAGGAAAATTTTTGCCCTCATTTCAATTTATCCTCCTTCCATCCTCATCATCAGTGGATGAATTCAAAATGTGTTGATTTTAATGAGACCGAGTTATCTCTCTTTTGACAAAATTGTATCTGGACAAATTAAAAAAAAAACGAAATTGTCTGCAAGTGTTAAACAGCAAATACACCTGTAGGTGAAAATTATCCTGTTGGAGCAAAACATGACACAGGGCAGAAACAAGGTACATGTACATATGTACTGATAACCACTTTTCTGGCCCCTTTTTCTGGTGTGTCAGAGGATATTATGTCTGTAATTTGCCATTTCCGAAATACGTTTCTGTGGTAATTTCAATAAATAATTTAATTCTTGTTCTATTGTGCCATTTGATTGGATAAAAGAATCAGTATATCCTATATGTGTTGCCTACATCAAAATGAACTGCATAAGTATATCAATATACTTGAGGTTATATTTAAAATCTGTACAGTTTGAAGGGTTATTGTACTGTTTTTTCTTTTATATTTAATGACAGAAAAAAAATATATAAGAAATAAATTTAACTGCTACCCAAGTTATATAATCTGGGAAGGAACACCTTTTCATAAACAGCTTCACATTTTATAAGGAGTAAACTGCCCCAACCCAGGTTGTACAGTATAATTTGGGTAGCTACTAGATTCACACCTGAAATATATATATTTACAAACGAAAATATAAAAACATGAAGCTGAAACCTTACCTCATATTGCAGTTTTTGTTTACCAGCTGGAATTCCAAGGCTTTCATTCAGCTTGGCTTTCATTACAGATATCTGCAATAAAAGAATTTTTGTGAGCATTATAATTTCTACTGTCAAAGATTTTAAGAAGAAATCCTTAAATGAACACAGTATATGTACTTATTTTAAAGGAAATCACATTTAAACATATTGCGTCAGGGTTCGATACTAACTTTTTAAGGCTTTAGTCCAGCCGGACTAGTGCTTCATTACTTTTACTAGTCCGCACGCGATTTTATAAGTCCATCAAAAAAAAAAACAACATCAAATTGATGTTTTTTAACATTAATTTAACGTGACAATTAAAATACGTATTATTTTTTGAAATAAACAAAGTATATTTACGTGAAATATATTATTCCACAGATTCATTGAAATCTCGCAATCGGCAAGTGCGATCGTATTTCCGATCTCGTTGGTTTTATTTTTTTTTTTTATTTTTTATTTATTTTTTTTTTTTGTCTTTACATTACATCCAAAACGTCCAACATCTTTCTTAAAAGTGTCATACTAAATCATGATTGCTAAAACCTAATACTTCGATCAGTCGAAAAATTAAGCGCTGAACTGACCCGGCATTGCGTAACTACCCGCCAAAAGCTGGAAATCTAAAAATACACGCCGGGTTTTCCAGTAAAAGTTGTCGGATATCGGTAATTTATTCATATTGTTTTTCATAAATTTTTATTGGTCCGTTCGGACTAATTAGCCACATATTTTATTAGTCCGAATGAAAATGTATTAGTCTGAGACTAACGGACTAACGTTAGTGTCGAACCCTGTGCGTGCTCTCTAAAAATCTTATTCAAATTACTCTCATTAGTTCACAACCTACAAATACCCTAAATAAGTACATGTACAGTATCTTTCTGTTCAGCTTTAATTTTTAAATCAGAATATCCATCAAAAGAGACTTATGAAATGAGGAATTGAAAGTCACACCATAACCATGATAACCTTGAACTTACTGTGTCTGTAAGAGGCAGGGTGAAGGACACAGTCTGTCCTTTAAGATTCCATTCTGGTTTATCATCCACCTTAGGTACAGATACTTTGAATGTGACAGGAGCCTTAAAAAAGTAAATAACGAAAATTAGAACATCAATGCATTACAAAAAGTATTGACAAAATCGCTGGGCAATAAAATGTTAACATTCAATTTTTAGCTTGTAAATGTATATGTACATGTAAAGACTTGTATGTAACAGTTTATAACAGCTTTTCACATAAATGTAATCAATCCCAATTCAATAAGATCCCTGTTTTTTTTATGAATAATCTTTCACTCTTATATAGCAAGGGCCAACAGTTACTATTAGAAGGTAACTGCAACAAGAATTATCTTGACACAGCTTAAAATACAGAATACATGCAGGCATTTTATAGAAGCTGGAAAAATAATCTGTAGTTAATTACTGACCTTGTTTCTGGACAAAAAGATCTCCTCTGGGATCAGCTGATCCTCTGTCTTCTGTTTCTTTGTTGGGGGTTCATCGTCCTGTGGGGGTGGGGGGATACCAGGGGGAGGGGCTGCCCCTGCAGGCATCATATGACGAGGGAAGCCTGGGGGTTGTGGGGGACCTGGCATGAACTGATGTGATGCTACTGGCATTGGAGGCTGCATACCTGTATACCATAGGGAAAATATATTTAATCATAAATTAAATGAGTATAAAGCAGCAGCAATATTTTGGGAATGCATTTGTAAGATTTCAATGGACATTTTACCTGACCAAAACAAGAAAGAATCATTAATATTTTACTTACGAACTATTGGCATTGGGGGTCTTGGAGGCAATACCATTAGTCCCGGTCTTTGGGGTACAGCCTGTGACATCAGGGGTGCTGGGTTGAGTTGGGCTGTAGCTGACTGGGGAGGGGGAGGGGGTGGCTTAGCCTGCTTAGATATCGGGGGTGGTGGTGGTGCAACTTTTGGGGGAGGTGGAGGATTCTTAGGAATATTAGGTCCAATCTTTTCTTTCTCTGCATCTTGCCTGTGTAAAGAAGCCAAGAATTACATGTAGCTGAGTGAAAATCGATAACAATCTATGAAATCCACTTTTTTATTTTCTGAGTTGACAGTTTTTTTGCTTTGAATGTCAGAAGTTACCATTATTATAACGGTAATTTTTGCCATTCAAAGCTAATATTTGTCATCTCAGAAAATTGCAGTTTATGTGTCAAATAAAATCAAAATCCAATCCTAACCACTCCCAGCAAGGCAATACTTACATGAAACCTTTGACTTTATGGATAGTCTTGATCTGTTCCTCAATGGAGATGTTTTCTCGAGCTTTTTGAGTGACCTTTTCCATGGATGCAGTGTGTCCATCCCAAACCACTTTCTTGGGTTCTTTAGTTTCCTCCTCTCCAATCTAGGAAAAGACACACCATAAAATTCTGCTATCCATTCAAAAACACAGTGTTCAAATAAAAATAATAATGGTGTAAAAACTAAATCTTTATGAACACTGCAGCTTGCAGTTCACAGATCTTAGGAGATGGTCCTTGACTGATACATAGGTTATACAGCTAACCATCAACTCAATTTGCCCTTTACTTATGGTGAACGATTTGAAATTATTACACATACGGATTAGTTTTGCAATATACAAATTAAAATCCTATAACTTGATACGACTCTGTCATAGAACAAATATGAATAAATTCAGACCAATATTATACAAATCAGGCATTTTTTCTCCTATAAAGCCAAGGGTTTCTAAGAAGAAGAAAAACAGAGATAAACTGATTAGTTCAAACTCTGATAAGCAAAGCTCTCTTATTTCATTTACTAGCAATCTAAAATTTGATCACTTCAAATCGTTTTTTTTTAAACCTTACACAAAGAGCAGGCCTTTACCTTTTTACCAATCTGAGTTTCCTCAATGCCGACACCAAAGATATCGGTACGTCTCTCAGCGAGTCCCTTCAGACTCATCTCGATGGAGGTTCCCGGGGCGTACACCTCCTCCTGCTCCTGTTTCTCTTTGACCACTTTCTGTCTCTCTTTTATCCAGGCAGGATCCAACAAACCTACAGCAGAGATGCTTCACTGATTAGTCTAATAATTAGGCACAAGAGTTTAAATTGGTACCTTCATTTCACACTAACTTTTGCAGCTGTGAAATCATGTCTTTTTCCTTTTCATTTAATTTATTTATGGGTTGGTTTATAAAAATACAAGTATAAAAGTGCTGATTTCTAAATCCAACATTTCATTAAACTTTGATGAAACAAAAATATTCTGTTGTATCTCTTTCCTACTCTTCATTAGTGTGCATATACACTGTATCAGCAATTAACATTAGAATTTTTTTATATGAATCCTATTTTGTATATACATGTAATAATAATATTAATGTCTCACATTTTTGACAGATTTCTTTCTTTGAGCTTCGAAGCTCTAATTCCACTATTCCACAACTCTTGTAAGCCTTTCATCTTTAACCAATATTAAACATTTTTAAAATATCAGGTGAACTAAAACAATACTAACCAATCCTCATGTGCTCCTGGACCTTACTGGCTGGTATTTTCTCTCCTGTGATTGGTGACACCATGAACTGCTCCGCACCAGTTTCTGGCTGTACAGCACGGGCTTAAAAAGTCAAATCAAAAGGCTCTTATGACAATACTTTGTGAAGGCTTAAAATTACAAGACAATGTACAGGGTGGTCATAAAGTCACATATAGGCTTAATGTCATTTATAAAAAAATAAATCTTGTTTTAAAAGGCACTTATTGATTTGAAAATTTCAAGAAGAGAAACTGAGTGGGTTATGTTATGGAAGTATTTCTCCCACTTATTTTTCTGATCCTGAGTGTGCCTCACCTTTGGGGTCATAGTTTTTCCGGATGATGACCTGGTCAGGGGTGGGAGGGAGGGGTGGGAGATTATCCGTGGGAGGGGGAGGACCTGGTGGTGGAGGGGGTTGTTGTGGGGGGTGAGGTGCCTTTCTGTGTATGGGCATCTCCTCCTCCTCATCGGAAGCTTCCTCCATATCCTAAAAAAAATACATGTAAATTAAAATGAAAGTCACATGTATTACATGATGTTCAAAGATATCATGAAATCAAACAATTGATGTCAAAAAATATAAATTAAGAATTTTTCATTCTGCCCAGCTTGTTTTTTTTGGGGGGGGGTGGGGGGGGGGTGTATTTGTTCTTTAAAAAATGCCTGAAAACTCAACTCATGTTTAAGAAGAAGTTTCATTTTCCTCAGTATGTTCCATGGTCTTCACTTTTACCTGTATCTGTGTGTTGGCTTGTCACTTTTACCTGTATCTGTGTGTTGGCTTGTCACTTTTACCTGTATCTGTGTGTTGGCTTGTCACTTTTACCTGTATCTGTGTGTTGGCTTGTCACTTTTACCTGTATCTGTGTGTTGACTTGTCACTTTTACCTGTATCTGTGTGTTGGCTTGTCACTTTTACCTGTATCTGTGTGTTGACTTGTCACTTTTACCTATATCTGTATGTTGGCTTGTCACTTTCACCTATATCTGTGTGTTGACTTGTCACTTTTACCTGTATCTGTGTGTTGGCTTGTCACTTTTACCTGTATCTGTGTGTTGACTTGTCACTTTTACCTGTATCTGTGTGTTGATAGGGATGTGCGATTTTATCGGTATACCAGTATATCGCGATTTTTTATTGCATGATACGTATCGTGATACGGAGACTAAAGTACCGGTATTTGGTACATAATTATAAATTCCGGAAATTATTCATTTATTTGTTCAAACTATTGAATGACAATTACAGGGAATGTAAAAAATGTTGAAAACAGTTAAACAACGGAATCCAAACATGTTTACATTAAATAAATAAAAAAAATTAAAAGGTTAAGTTATGTTTTTAGAGCATATTTTAAAGAAATATTATGGAAATTCTTTTGAAATTGTAAAAATTGTGTGTTTAAAAATATCACGATTTATCGTGATATTTTTGGGGGAAAATCGTGATATATCACGATACGAAATTTTTGCCGATACCCATCCCTGTGTGTTGACTTGTCACTTTTACCTGTATCTGTGTTTTGACTTGTCACTTTTACCTGTATCTGTGTGTTGACTTGTCACTTTTACCTATATCTGTATGTTGGCTTGTCACTTTCACCTATATCTGTGTGTTGACTTGTCACTTTTACCTGTATCTGTGTGTTGGCTTGTCACTTTTACCTGTATCTGTGTGTTGGCTTGTCACTTTTACCTGTATCTGTGTGTTGGCGTGTCACTTTTACCTGTATCTGTGTGTTGGAATGTCGCTTTTTACCTGTATCTGTGTGTTGGCTTGTTACTTTTTACCTGTATCTGTGTGTTGGCATGTCACTTTTACCTGTATCTGTGTGTTGACTTGTCACTTTTATCTGTATCTGTGTGTTGGCTTGTTACTTTTTACCTGTATCTGTGTGTTGGCATGTCACTTTTACCTGTATCTGTGTGTTGACTTGTCACTTTTATCTGTATCTGTGTGTTGGCTTGTCACATTTACCTGTATCTGTGTGTTGGCTTGTCACTTTTACCTGTATCTGTGTGTTGGCATGTCACTTTTTACCTGTATCTGTGTGTTGGCATGTCACTTTTACCTGTATCTGTGTGTTGCCTTGTCACTTTTACCTGTATCTGTGTGTTGGCATGTCACTTTTACCTGTATCTGTGTGTTGGCTTGTCACTTTTACCTGTATCTGTGTGTTGGCTTGCTCCATGGCTTTAACTGTCACTCTCTCCTCCTCATCAGACTCATCTTCTTCATCAGATTCCACTTCCATTTCATCAGCATCCAACTTAAAAATTAAAGAAAATGTTTTCAAACTTCAGTCACATCACACTGTCAGAGCCAAAAATAACATACATACTGTATGTATACACCAATTTTTTGTGTTGTATTAGCATACCAACTTAATAATCTTTTCTCTTGGTTAGACCAAAGTTAAAATCTGGTATAGATATGTACTTAGTAGTGTATCAGTTCTGATATTTTTAAATTTGCAAAAACAGTTTCATGCCCCTAAGGCTATATCACTCTCTAATTCCAAACCATTATTTCTCCTCAATTTATGAAATAAAAGCTAAATTTTTAACAGTACACATGTACATTGTACAAGAAATTTTACTTAGTAGAAAGAATATAACTTTTCTAAAGGACTAATTAAATGACTCTTTTTTTATGCTTACCTCTCCTCTGTGAATTCTTTCTTGTACCAACATCCGTGCCCCAACTTCACCTGGTGTTGTGGGAGGGGGAAGATTTCCTACAAAGTCATAATTAAATATCAATTTCATGTATTATATTTTTTGCACTACTACATATTCGAAAAGCATTTCTTCAATTTTTTTTTTTGGGGGGGGGGGGGGGGAGGGGGGGGAGGGGGGGGTTGTAGGTGTTCATGTTCAAAGCACTGGAAACAATCACAGTTTTACAGGTCCATGTACATGTAACAAAAAAACTTCACAGCTGTAGTACAATCATGTAAAACTATTTTACTTCATCTTTAACAAACCAGTTTAAAAATGTATTAAAATATTACAACTCTACAAGAAATGATCATCAATCACTTATTCAAATAACTGAAATATCAGGTTTCAAGTTGTTGCAATGACAACAGAGTTGTTAGAAAAATATCAGTTACTCACCACTCTCATTTGGCTGGAAGTCTACAGTCTCCACAACGACAAAGTCATGCCAATCAATCTGAGCGTAGGCAACTGTGTTCAAATAAAGTCTAAAATAAGTTTTCCATACACAAACACACAAAACATTTTCAACTTATCATTTTACCAAAAATATATAAAGTCTTCAATCTTCATAAAGCAAACTGATTTCACTTACCAAATATACATGTACTTTGTTTATATGTTTATATACTACTCTTCACTGAATTACAGAAATCTATTGGCTCTGCTTTATGACATTACTATTATCGACATGACAAACCTCTTTCCCTCTCAATAGCTTCTTCTTCCTTTCTCTTCTCCCTGTCTTGATGCCTCTGCCATTCCACTCGGTATTTCACTTGATTCAACACCTGTAAACAACATACACATAAGCATTATATTTATTGTAAACAACATTCTTACTCTGACAGCACATCATCCATTGCAACAACAAAAAAACTATTATAATTTTAAAATTCTCTGTGCACAAGAATTTTTTAATAATCAAAACTTTTTCAGGATTAAAGCTTTTTTCACTTAATTTTAAAAAAACTGAATTATTGACAATTTCCACTGATAAACATTTTGATGAACGTGTTTAGCTGCTCATTTCAGTTATTCTTTTTTTTTTCTCAGCTGATTTTCAATATTATAAAAAATTCGTTTTGCTCTTAATTTCAACATAACTATGCAAATGTTTACAACTGCATCATACATGTAAATGGTTACCTCACAAAGTACATAAAGAATGAACTGGAAACTTACATCTTTGTAATCAAATGACTCCTTCTGTAATTTATCCAGCAAGTCCTTGGGTGGAATAAGAATCTGAAAATGGATTCATACAAAGACTAAATAATTATCAGTCAAATTCAAATTAACCCTTGAAAAATTTCAAAAGAAAAACGTGGATACAATTAAATAAATTTAAAGTATATGTAAATAACTTGGACACTTAATAATCACTCTGACACCGATAGAAATGCAAAACTATATCTGAGTATTTAACAGAATGTAGAACATTTCAACTTGCCTTGGTATATTGTTCCACCAGTTTAGTGAAATAGTTGAACAAGCTGTGCTGAGGTCGTAAGAAATCAAACTGATAATTACGCTGCTCTCGATTCATTAAGTTAGTCAGAAACTGCCGTCCATTCCTGGCCACAAACTGAGCCGTCAATTTCACCACATCTCTACAATGTGTCCAGAATATCCAATTTTATAAAAGAGAGACATAAAATGATTCCATTTCTTCAGTTAAAATCTTGAAACGCATTTCGCTTTATCCTCAAGCTTAACATTTTGATTCAAGGGAAACTAGAAATATGTCCATAGAACATGAATGCTAAAAAGGTAACAAAATTTAGGCATGATTTAATATGCTCCAGAAATTTGTGTTCAACAAATATGATGGGGTTTAAAAAACACTGAATACCATATGATACCATTATGCATGCTGTGCATTAAACAAGAGAACTTACAAATCAAATGCAGATATGGATGGTGGGTCAGCAATAAACTCAAATTCAGGAGGGGGCTCCTTAGGGACAATTATTTCCTGCATTATCTTTGCCTGCTCTGCTGGCTTCTGTGAAAATGGGGCCCCCTGAGCTGGCTACAACAATTAATTTTATAGCTGTTAACTCAAAATCCACTTTTTAAGGCTTGTGTAATGTACATGTATATTTGGATTCCTTCATTTAAGAAAGAATAGTCATCAAAACACAATGCGAAAGATAAAAAAAAAGTTTAATTAATGTTAACAAATCTATATTTTTACTTGTTGACATCAAACATTAGCTGACATGTGTCACTATGTTAAATATCGTTTGCAATGTAATAATACATGTACGAGCTGGGAATCGAAGTAGTACAACTACTGTGTGTAAAACAAATTTAAATAATTTTTTTTAAAAAACTGTTTTAATATCATACCTTAGGTGCCACTGGTTCCTGTCCTGTAATTGAAAATATTTTTTTTTAATTTTGCACAATATATGTTTTTTGAAAATAATTTTAAAAAATTCACTTAGCAGAGTACATGAACAGTTGAAACATTCTTATAAATTTTCCAAATTGTGATCCATTTATTGCAGGTGAATATATTTACTTACCCCTTCCTTCCTTGAACTCTCGCACTTTGTGTTGATAGTATGCATGATATGGGTCAGAGGGGTTCAAAAAGTTAAACTTGGCATTGTTCATCTCATTTTTACGAATACGGCTCTCAAACTCGGGTCCATTCCTGGCAACAAAACTAGCAGTCTTGTCTACAATGTCTATTTGTATGCTAAAGAAAAATCATGAGGCTATGAAAAAACTATAATAATAAAGTGTTCTAAATGACATAGGCAGATTTTAGGCAGGTACTGTTTTCTGAACTCAACTTTGCACAAGAGAAGGATTGCCAAACTAGTTACAGGCATCTCAGGAAAATTCTATCCCAAGAGAGGAGGGGTACAGAATGTAATTGTAAACCTGCTTTACAATAAATACTTCCCAAGGAGTATTAATACAAACTTCCCAGGGAAAGACATCAACTTTCAGATCCATTTGCCCGAAATCAAACTTTGACTTGTCTGAATGCAAAAATTGGTTGCCCAAAATTAAGAAAGAAGAAAAATAACTTTTTATTTTTTACTGTAAATGTTATAAGAAAAACTGTGAACAGATACAGTACTGTCTAACTGACAAGTTGAGGTGCCAGAAAAAAAAATGCCTATGCTATGTTTGTACATAAATGTATATCACTGTCCATGTCAATTTATCCTGTAACTCACACTGCAATGCAGCAATAACCCCCTGTTTCCTTTAGAATAAAATTCATATTTTTTTAAATATTATTTTCAGTAGGATACTTTAATTAGCGAATTTCGATTTTTCAGAGATGGCTGTGAAGCATTAACGCTTAAGGAAGATGTTTGCTACAAAGCATACATGTAGATATCTTGAACAGGATACGTTGAGTAATTAAATAAATAAATAAAATTTCCTTATAATTAAGAAACAAAGTTGTTAGATGTATATTACCCTATAATATTTACCAGGATAGAGAACAGAATAACCAGGGACCTATATACTAATGGGGATAGGCAACTCTCGCGATATCTTGTAGGTTGCGGGATTTCGTAAGTCAATTTTAATTAAATATATCTCTTTTGCAATCAAATATTTCAGAATAAAATCTTAATTTATCTATCAAAAAATTATTTAAGATTTGTTATTAGTACTGTTTTTACTCATCTTAGAAGTAATTACGTTTAATTAAAAATCAGTGCGTGTCCCTGATCGGCCGTATTTCCGAGAAATCACCGATTTTTGGTGGTTGTTTACTTAATATCGAAATTATTTTATAATATGTGCTTTCAAATTTATTATATATCCATTCCAATACACAAAAAGAACAGAATACATTAATCAGCAGGGCTCGACATTAACGCTTGTCCGGTACCAGTGAAAAAAAATTACGGACACGTGAATATTGCTGGGCACTTGTCCGATTGGACAAGTGCATTTTAATGTAAAGGAGTCTCTAAATAATTTAAAAAAACGACTGTTGAAAGTTAATCGGTAGTTTCAAGACGGAAGCTGTACATAAAAACCGGACTTCGATCCCGATAGGGATCGCTATTAATTGAGTTCACATTCGATCGTGATCGAAGTTCACTAATTGCATACTACTGAAAAGGCATGGAACTTATAAACTTAACCAAGTTTGGTTCACTTGTGGACATTTATGTTGTTGTCAGACCAGAAAGACTACATAAAATTTCGTTTTATGTGTTTGTTGTATTTATCAATAACATCACGAATCAATCAAGCACATGTCATGTGTAATGGATTTTTTTTTATTTTTTTATTTTAGTTTTCCAGTTGACAGTATTAGATATTTATTGAAAATTTTTCGGACAAGTGAAGTTGAAGTTCGGACAAGTAAATGTCTTGTTCACTTGTCCGAATGGACAAGTAGGAAAAAAAGTTAATGTCGAGCCCTGATCAGAAAACAAGCTTTTTCCTGGGAAAAAATGTAGTTTGAAAAACTTGCAGTGTTGTGTGTGCCGTTTTGGGTAAATAAACATGGCGCTGAAGGAGTTGCCTATCCCGTTAGTATTTAGGTCCCTGGAATAACAAACCCAATTTTTGAATGAACAGTACAATATCTGACAGACATGTCCCCAGCGGAAATCAAGTGTTCAATTTATTGTTTTATTTATAAACGGGTAATGTAAGCTAGATAACAATATATGTTTCTATCAGAAATATTCACTCGATCGGACAAGTACATTGACAGTTTCGCATGGGGCAATCTCATACATGCCAACTTTTGAAAATTCCCATGGGGGATTTTGCGCATGACGACAATTTATAAAGCTTTAAGTTCGCAATCTGACAACCGTTAATATCAATCCCTGCTGCCTGAAAAAAAAATTTAGGAACACGAGGACTAACGTCATAATATTTTCAAACTATGCATACTGTTTAAATAGGGTGGGATCTATTTGGGCAATTTTCCAAATTTGTTCAGTGTTCACAAATTACACGTGTTCATTAAGGCTTAAATATTTATTTTGAAGCCACCAGCCCAACAGACAAGTATCTAAAAAAGATTTTATTAAAAGACTACAATATGTTATTTAGGGTTGAACCGGTTCTTTAAAAATTTTGAGACTGTCGACAACGTTGGGACTGCGCAAAGAAACTGACTACAGCTAGAGGATACTCCTGACTTCCGGAGGAGGGTAGATGATCCCAATCACAGGTTTAGCCACAGCAAGCTCCTCTTCCGTCTTGCCATGATTCTCTGCAGGTAAATTCATCGTTACCGGAGGCATTTTTAATGGATTCGTTCGGCTTTCGCCGCTTTGAAGCACTTAAAAATGGCTGCCAAGGGCACACAACTCTGGACAAATATATGCTAACTCGTACACTAGCTGATTCGTAGTCTTGACATATGAAATCACTCTCTACCATCGGCTCATACTACATTCACAGTGTTAAGCACGAGAAATAGTGCGTTTCTTTGAATTGTTCCCCGCTTTCACTGAAAGTGGGTGATATTAATTTGGGTCTGTATGTCCGTCTGTATTTCTGTCTGTCTTTAACACTTTCGTTTCCGCGCGATACCTCGAGAACCCTTTGAGCTTTCGCAATGAAATTTTGCATAGCAACTCCCTATGGCTTGAAGAAGAACCCTATTGATTTGAGGTCAAAGGTCAAGATCATAAATTCATAAATTCTGTCTGTTTTAACACTTTCGTTCCCGCGCGATATCACGAGAATCCTTTGAGCTTTTGCAATGAAATTTTACATAAGGCCATTCCAAGTTTTTGTCTATGTTTAGCGTCCGCGTGCGCCTTGGTTTTTGACACTCCATATCAGAAAAAACAAACAGAATCAGAGTCCTGAAATCGGTTATTCTGGTCAAAATCTTTGAATTCTGTCAATTTCTATAAATATTTGTCTACAATATGTCATATTAGGAATATTTTAAACATTTTTAAAATACCTCGGTTTTGCTGAAGAATTGATCTTTCAACGAGGAAAATAGATTTATCAAATTAAATCTTTTGAATGACTTCATTTTTACGACTATAAAGTCTTTGTTTTATTTTTTTATTTTTTTTTTGAGGGGGGGGGGGTGTTTTTTGCGAATAGGTATAGGTAGGTTTTTGAAAGATGGGTGGACGCTAAACGGAGAAAAAAAAACTTGGAATGGCCTAACAACTCCTTATGGCCTAAGGAAGACCCCTATTGATTTTGAGGTCAAAAGGTCAAAGTTCAAGGTGGTAAATTCACACATTCCGACTGTGTGTAACACTTTCGTTTCCGGGCGATATCTCAAGAAGTTTTTGTTGGCGGACTTTATATTCTAATTGCATCTATTAGAACTGTTTAGTTAAGGCTTAATTAGACACCATGTATTGTGTTAAATTTTGACAATATCGAACGTGAATATAAACATTATATAGTGACCTTATGTTTGCATTTAATTTGATGTACAATCAAGTGCCTCCGTGGTCTAGGGGTATGACTCTCGCTTAGCATGTGAGAGATGCCGAGTTCACATCCCGCACGTTTTTTTTTTTCTTTTTTTTTTTTTTTTTTTTGGAATTATTTTTTGGGGGATGAATCGAAATTAACAATCAGTAATTAAGTCGAAGGACTTTCGCAAAGTTACGTGTTACTGTTTTTTTTTTAATCGAATGATTAGTTTGAGTAAAATGAACAAAAGAAATGAACACTCCTTTTTGACTGATGAGTGGATTTTTTTGTTTGCAAGAGAATTTATACTGTTTACCATAATAAGAATTTAACTGCATTTCATTGCACTGCACTACAATGCAATGTCATTCAATAAAATGAAGTCCACCTTTGTTTTACATCATGGTATTGAAAATAAGGTGTAAATTAACATATTTTCTAATAAATTTTTATTTTTAATAAAAGTTTTGAAAAAAAAGACTGGATGGAATATTTTCATTCACATTTTCTGATACTGATTGTTCTCTTTCATACGAATCTAAATTAAAAATGCAGTAATAATGTCCAAGGATTTTTCGAATAATTTTTCCATTGCTGTTTATTATTTTATGCAACGCCTAGTTTGGGTATATGAAAGATTGAAAAAAGAGAGAAATCTCGTGTTTGACTGATGAGTGTAAATTTTGAGAGTGATGCAGATAAGCACCAGGGAGGATAAACAGAATATATTCTGATAACAGTACTTAGAGCTAAGTTCTCATCAAAGAACAGTTACTTCTGCTGATTTTTTTTCTTTATTGAAAGACTGATATGGATATATGCGAAACATCCCGAGGAAAATTGGAGTGTCGAGTGAAGTTCTATAATTGCAAGCTAATTAATTTTGCTTTTAAATAGAAATATAACTGTCCTACAATACATTGCATTGTAATGCTTGATGTACTGTCTAATTAAAACATACTTGGTCAATTTTTATTATTAGGCAAAACAGTGAAAAAATATAAACTTTTCTTTTTGACTGATGAGTGAATATTTTGAGACTCAAACAAAGCGCCGATGGCTTTGTAGAACAATCAAAGACGCTTTTCAATATTGCTTTGCAGTACTTGTTTAGTGAGTTAAGCTCACACTAAGTCCTTTACACGCCACATTACCCGTAACCGTTATTTACTCTGAATTTAACACATGGTCATTTGTGAATATCTCTCTAACGTCTTATATATAGTATACAAGCCTGTTACTCGTTAGCATTGCTTAAACATTTACATAATATAAAGCAGAAATCAATGATCGTTTTGTCTACGTTGTTCAAAGGGACATAATTTGAGTTCTCGAACTTTGAAACAAAACTTACATTATGCAAATTTCCAAATAAACATTCAATCACAAGGACAAATTGTATATCAAAGCTGTCTTTGGAGGGTGGATGGTGGGGGATATTTCTAATACATTGATAAGTAAAACAATTGTACTTGTATAAATACAAGTAGAATTGCACCATACTGCACTCTGCTTTGATTGTAGTATGTGAAGTAACTTTTTCTTTTAAAAGCACTGGTTTTATCTAGTATCTAGAAATGTCACGAAGAAGGGGTGCACAACCAAAAATATCAAACGGGAGGTGTGCACTATCAAGGAAATTTTTTATCAATCAAAAAAGTTAATATAAATATGTTATTGTTTACATGACCTTTGGGACACAAGCATAAATTAAGTTAGCATATAATTATATATCGGCAAAATATGGGGGGGGGGGGGGGAGGGGGGGCTCTTCTTCATGGTTCCTACGGCCATGAAAAAAAGAAGAAATTACAAGTCTGTATGTAGAATAAATTCATATCCGAATTTTATTTCATGTTGATACAACTGGATTGAACTTTTGGTACCGATCTTTTCTTGATTATTAGCAGAATAATTTATTTCTGGACTCAGAATTATGTTTATCACACTGAATTCAACTTTTCTTAGTTCTTCCTATAATAATAAATTTTGCTCACGTCAGACAAGCTTTTTAAGAAAGCTAATACTTGTAACAGTACTTAGAGCTAAGTTCTCATCAAAGAACAGTTACTTCTGCTGATTTCTTTTATTATTGAAAGACTGATTATATATATACGAAACATCCCGAGGAAAATTGGAGTGTCGAGTGAAGTTCTTCAATTGCAAGCTAATTAATTTTGCTTTTAAATAGAAATATAACTGTCCTACAATACATTGCATTGTAATGCTTGATGTACTGTCTAATTAAAACATACTTGGTCAATTTTTATTATTAGGCAAAACAGTGAAAAAATATAAACTTTTCTTTTTGACTGATGAGTGAATATTTTGAGACTCAAACAAAGCGCCGATGGCTTTGTAGAACAATCAAAGACGCTTTTCAATATTGCTTTGCAGTACTTGTTTAGTGAGTTAAGCTCACACTAAGTCCTTTACACGCCACATTACCCGTAACCGTTATTTACTCTGAATTTAACACATGGTCATTTGTGAATATCTCTCTAACGTCTTATATATAGTATACAAGCCTGTTACTCGTTAGCATTGCTTAAACATTTACATAATATAAAGCAGAAATCAATGATCGTTTTGTCTACGTTGTTCAAAGGGACATAATTTGAGTTCTCGAACTTTGAAACAAAACTTACATTATGCAAATTTCCAAATAAACATTCAATCACAAGGACAAATTGTATATCAAAGCTGTCTTTGGAGGGTGGATGGTGGGGGATATTTCTAATACATTGATAAGTAAAACAATTGTACTTGTATAAATACAAGTAGAATTGCACCATACTGCACTCTGCTTTGATTGTAGTATGTGAAGTAACTTTTTCTTTTAAAAGCACTGGTTTTATCTAGTATCTAGAAATGTCACGAAGAAGGGGTGCACAACCAAAAATATCAAACGGGAGGTGTGCACTATCAAGGAAATTTTTTATCAATCAAAAAAGTTAATATAAATATGTCATTGTTTACATGACCTTTGGGACACAAGCATAAATTAAGTTAGCATATAATTATATATCGGCAAAATATGGGGGGGGGGGGGAGGGGGGGCTCTTCTTCATGGTTCCTACGGCCATGAAAAAAAGAAGAAATTACAAGTCTGTATGTAGAATAAATTCATATCCGAATTTTATTTCATGTTGATACAACTGGATTGAACTTTTGGTACCGATCTTTTCTTGATTATTAGCAGAATAATTTATTTCTGGACTCAGAATTATGTTTATCACACTGAATTCAACTTTTCTTAGTTCTTCCTATAATAATAAATTTTGCTCACGTCAGACAAGCTTTTTAAGAAAGCTAATACTTGTAACAGTACTTAGAGCTAAGTTCTCATCAAAGAACAGTTACTTCTGCTGATTTCTTTTATTATTGAAAGACTGATTATATATATACGAAACATCCCGAGGAAAATTGGAGTGTCGAGTGAAGTTCTTCAATTGCAAGCTAATTAATTTTGCTTTTAAATAGAAATATAACTGTCCTACAATACATTGCATTGTAATGCTTGATGTACTGTCTAATTAAAACATACTTGGTCAATTTTTATTATTAGGCAAAACAGTGAAAAAATATAAACTTTTCTTTTTGACTGATGAGTGAATATTTTGAGACTCAAACAAAGCGCCGATGGCTTTGTAGAACAATCAAAGACGCTTTTCAATATTGCTTTGCAGTACTTGTTTAGTGAGTTAAGCTCACACTAAGTCCTTTACACGCCACATTACCCGTAACCGTTATTTACTCTGAATTTAACACATGGTCATTTGTGAATATCTCTCTAACGTCTTATATATAGTATACAAGCCTGTTACTCGTTAGCATTGCTTAAACATTTACATAATATAAAGCAGAAATCAATGATCGTTTTGTCTACGTTGTTCAAAGGGACATAATTTGAGTTCTCGAACTTTGAAACAAAACTTACATTATGCAAATTTCCAAATAAACATTCAATCACAAGGACAAATTGTATATCAAAGCTGTCTTTGGAGGGTGGATGGTGGGGGATATTTCTAATACATTGATAAGTAAAACAATTGTACTTGTATAAATACAAGTAGAATTGCACCATACTGCACTCTGCTTTGATTGTAGTATGTGAAGTAACTTTTTCTTTTAAAAGCACTGGTTTTATCTAGTATCTAGAAATGTCACGAAGAAGGGGTGCACAACCAAAAATATCAAACGGGAGGTGTGCACTATCAAGGAAATTTTTTATCAATCAAAAAAGTTAATATAAATATGTTATTGTTTACATGACCTTTGGGACACAAGCATAAATTAAGTTAGCATATAATTATATATCGGCAAAATATGGGGGGGGGGGGGGAGGGGGGCTCTTCTTCATGGTTCCTACGGCCATGAAAAAAAGAAGAAATTACAAGTCTGTATGTAGAATAAATTCATATCCGAATTTTATTTCATGTTGATACAACTGGATTGAACTTTTGGTACCGATCTTTTCTTGATTATTAGCAGAATAATTTATTTCTGGACTCAGAATTATGTTTATCACACTGAATTCAACTTTTCTTAGTTCTTCCTATAATAATAAATTTTGCTCACGTCAGACAAGCTTTTTAAGAAAGCTAATACTTGTAACAGTACTTAGAGCTAAGTTCTCATCAAAGAACAGTTACTTCTGCTGATTTCTTTTATTATTGAAAGACTGATTATATATATACGAAACATCCCGAGGAAAATTGGAGTGTCGAGTGAAGTTCTTCAATTGCAAGCTAATTAATTTTGCTTTTAAATAGAAATATAACTGTCCTACAATACATTGCATTGTAATGCTTGATGTACTGTCTAATTAAAACATACTTGGTCAATTTTTATTATTAGGCAAAACAGTGAAAAAATATAAACTTTTCTTTTTGACTGATGAGTGAATATTTTGAGACTCAAACAAAGCGCCGATGGCTTTGTAGAACAATCAAAGACGCTTTTCAATATTGCTTTGCAGTACTTGTTTAGTGAGTTAAGCTCACACTAAGTCCTTTACACGCCACATTACCCGTAACCGTTATTTACTCTGAATTTAACACATGGTCATTTGTGAATATCTCTCTAACGTCTTATATATAGTATACAAGCCTGTTACTCGTTAGCATTGCTTAAACATTTACATAATATAAAGCAGAAATCAATGATCGTTTTGTCTACGTTGTTCAAAGGGACATAATTTGAGTTCTCGAACTTTGAAACAAAACTTACATTATGCAAATTTCCAAATAAACATTCAATCACAAGGACAAATTGTATATCAAAGCTGTCTTTGGAGGGTGGATGGTGGGGAATATTTCTAATACATTGACAAGTAAAATAATTGTACTTGTTTAAATACAAGTAGAATTGCACCATACTGCACTCTGCTGCAATACAATGCGATACATTGTGATGCCTGCCAAATTGTCCAATCAAAATTAACTGAGTCATTTTTTTTCTTAATTGAATTTAAAAACCGATTGAATACACACACTTTTTTTTTCATTTTATGCTTTAAAAAAAAGGTTTCAAAAACAGACTAGAGAGCATTTCTTTTATTCTCATATTCTTAAATATTTGGGTTTTTTTTTAATATGAATCATAATTAACAATCAGTTATTAAGTCGAAGGACTTTCGCAAAGTTACGTGTTAACGGGTTTTATTTTTATCGAATGACTAGTTTGAGTATGCGCAAGAGATCCAAAAGGAATGAACACTCTTTTTTGACTGATGAGTGGATTTTTTTGTTTTTCATGAGAATTTATACTGTTTACCATAATACTAATTTAACTGCATTTTATTGCACTGCACTACAATGCAATGTCAATTAATAAAATGAAGTCCATTTTTGTTTTACATTATGGTATTGAAAATAAGGTGTAAATTAACATATTTTCTGATATATCTTTATTTTTAAAAAGTTTTGAAAAACAGACTGGATGGAATATTTTCATTCACATTTTCTTATATGATTGTTCTCTTTCATATGAATCTAAATTAACAATTCATGCAGTAATAATGTCGAAGGATTTTTCGACAATTTTTTTCATTGCTGTTTACTATTTTATGCAACGCCTAGTTTGGGTATATGAAAGATTGAAAAAGAGAGAAATCTCGTGTTTGACTGATGAGTGTAAATTTTGAGAGTGATGCAGATAAGCACCAGGAAGGATAAACAGAATATATTCAGCTGATAACAGTACTTAGAGCTAAGTTCTCATCAAAGAACAGTTATTTTTGCTGATTTTTTTTCTTTATTGAAAGACTGATATGGATATATGCGAAACATCCCGAGGAAAATTGGAGTGTCGAGTGAAGTTCTTCAATTGCAAGCTAATTAATTTTGCTTTCAAATAGAAATATAACTGTCCTACAATACATTGCATTGTAATGCTTGATGTACTGTCTAATTAAAACATACTTGGTTAATTTTTTATTATTAGGCAAAACAGTGAAAAAATATAAAACTTCTCTGTTTGACTGATGAGTGAATATTTTGAGACTCAAACAAAGCGCCGATGACTTTGTAGAACAATCAAAGACGCTTTTCAATACTGCTTAGCAGTACTTGTTTAGTGAGATAAGTTCACACTAAGTCCTTTACACGCGACATTACCCGTAAAGTTCCAATTTTTGTCGTAAATTATCACAAAAGCAAAGATTAATTAAGTAGATTGTGATTTTTTAAATCCGACTCATTTCTGTTTAAAATCTTAAAAATCTTTCAGAAAATTCTGGAAACACATTTTTATAGGACATGTTTTTAAAAGAAACAGATTATAGCAATTTCCTGTTTACTGCCAATTTTATTTATAAAACCGGTTCTACCCTATATCAATAGAATGGGTCAACCTACACCACGTGTCTTGAATCACAATAACATTAGTAGGGGTGCAGCATGTCAAATGAAAAAGTTATGATGTCTGGCATGTGCAAACTCATAAAATCATTATTACAGTGTGACAAATATTCTGTACAAAAAGAATCTTCTATATACATATTAAAGAATAAGCAATCAAATCTTTATATCCATATTGGCATTTTTTATTTCCTTCAATAATATGCATGTTTACATTTAATAATTCTACAAATCGGGGGGGGGGGGGGGAGAGAGAAGTCCCCCCCCCGAACTGCGCATGCTCTTCTTTTTCCCCTAAGCGGGGGACACAAATTCTCTGAATTAGCTTGTTCATTATGATTAAATGCCTGAGCTGACGATAGTCCTTAAAGATAGATATTTACTAAATAGATCTAATACTATTAGTTTAATTTGAAATAATCCTTGAAATGTTATGATTTTTACGTTATGTCAAAAATCTTGACGCGAGCCCATTGCAGAGGTGTCTGAGAGAGGAACGAATGACAACTCTGCATATAGGAGATTGATATGATATGTTCGGTTAGATAATAAACACAAATTTGTTAAAATCTTTTTTGTGACTTTCTTCCCAGTCCTAACTGACTCCTGCATGCGTGTGAATTGATAAAAAAAGATGATTCTTTCAGACTTCTACTGATTTGATTAAGATACACTTGACAAATCTTATTTACTTATTAATATGCATTTGAAGGAGGAATGCTACACCAAAATTTTATTCCATGGATTTTTAAGACATCTCATTTAGACGATGGAATTGACTTTGAAAGACTTATATTAGCTCTTATTTCAAAATGCAATCGTGCAGAAATACATAATCAATGGAAAAAAATTATATCAATTTAAGAGTCTACCTCCTGGCAGACTGTAATCGTGATTTTAGATTCAGTAAAAATTGTAAATCAGTGTAATACAGCAAAACTAAGTTATAAAAAAAAAAAAAAAAGCAAATCTTTTTTCAATTGTAGACTTCACACTGTGTTTTTTATACTGATGGAAAGAATCTCATTTAAAAAGAACCAGAATTTAAAGTCCCAGTGACTTCCTTATCAGAAAATTTTACTGTAGTTTTATTCCTAATCAAGTACTTGATCTAAATAAGACACTCACATTAATAAATTTCTGCTGACACATAAGCCGACCAGTTATATTACATGTACTAATTATTGAGCAAAAACGTGATTTTTTGAAAACTTAAATTCAAGTTTTCTCTTTATTAAAGAAAAAAAAATATGCACAAAACAAAAAGGTTTCTGATTAAGTTTTTTTTTTTTAAATATGCAGAGTAAATCAATGTATATGTAGCTGTCAAATTAAAGGTAAATACATGTATTAAACAACATGATCAAAAGAAAAAAAAATCTTTAAAATTATCATGCAAGTCTGATCCATCTATTTGCATTGGATCCTCAAGAAAAAATATTGCTTTGTCCACCTGCATGTATATATACACCATTTCTAGTTATTTGCAACATCAGGAAATGTTCAGTGTTAATCTCATCACAATTTTTTTCTCCACTACGATTTTGTAACATTCTTGAGTCTGCTTTTAACACCAGAATACTTTTCAATCTAACACAATAACCTTGCTGGAAGTCAAATCTTCCTGATCATCTAAATCACACAGATCAATCACAATGTCCGTTCCCAGAAATGTAGCCTCTTTCTTAACCTTCACAGTCTCATTTGAAGTCCCACTTCTCTGTGATGTCACTTCCACGTCTTCTTTAACGCTATCCAAACTTCCCGGATCATTATTCCCATCCAGAGTCACAATGTTCGAATCAACGATTATTTTTTCTCCCGTCTCTTCCCTGTTACCTCCCTTTGTGTCATATTCTGTTCCGGCAAGTCCTTGAGATAAATCTACACTTTGTCCTCTAAGTTCCCTCCCTTGATTGTGGGGGAGATGTGCTGGGTATGGAATAGGGATCACAGCCACACCCATATCTCTCAGGTCCTGAGCAGTGACATATTTAATGGAGAGTTTACTTCGGAGGGAATTAAGGTCCCAGTAATCTGTCGAACGATAAGCATTCTTGAGCTGTAAGACACGACCTGCCTTAGTAGTGGTCATCATGTACTTGCCTAAAAGTAGAACAAGGAATTGGACTACACTACTTTAAAAAAAAAATTCATTCTTTAAGTGAAATCTACAACACACACTCATTTGCAAAATTGAATCCTAGCCCCCCCCCCCCCCTTTCCATAAGAAGCCCTCAATAAATTTTTAAAAATCCAATCTGGTAGTTTTCTTTTTTATATATATGATTACCTTAATTAGAAGATCTAATTTACAGGTACAACTATATGTTTCATCACATGTGATACACTAGAAATCACTCATTGTATTTGATTATCTGAATCAGTGGTTCATAATTTGATATAAAAGTTTTTATATCAGATGTAATCTACATCTAGACACAACTGATATCCTCTGAATAATGTAATACAGTACAACATGATTATTATTATACCAGTTTGATATTAAACATCTTTTATTATCAAAAGATTTTTGAAACACAAAACCATTTCCTAATACAATGAACATATAAAAAACATACATCTAACACAGAAAAAAATTAAAGTATGAGCATACACCAGCCTCTTAGCATGGGATCCATCTGTCTGAGAGCATTCAATAAAAGAAAGCTTTCTCTAACCTTGTGTGATTCTCAAGCTGTCCTTTTTGGAGCCTGATGTAAAATCCAGACGGCGATTTCTAACTGATCTTTTTGTTGCCTTCAAGGTGGCATTCCAACACTCCACATCGATCCACCCCACACGATCTGATGATGGAGCCTCAGACTAAGGTAAAGGTAAGAAACTAATGTAAACAACAGGATTAACGAGAAAATTGTAAATTTACACATATATCACCATATAAACTAACACTTAAATAAATTATACAAAAATTCTTTAAAAATTTATTAGGAGCTATCATTGTCATCATTTTAGATATGCCAATAATGCAGATGCACAATTAAATATCCTCAATAAAAAAATTATGTCTTCAAATTCCAAGTTTAGCTCAATATTTCATTCATATTTATGTTCTTTAAAATTTAAGTTTGGCTCAGGAAAACTTTCAATGGCATGTAATTAAAACTCATATTAATACACTGTATTTCTCACATGGATAAAGAATCTACCGTAATCAACTACATATTTAACAAACCTGTGATTGCTTCAGACTGGGCATCGAAAACAAAAACTCTTTCACCATAATTCCATCTCGAAAGCCTTTGATGATTCTGAAATGAAATGTTAACCTTTATTAACTGAAAAACTGAATGATTACTTTGAAGAATTTGTAAAAAGAACCCTAAGTATATGTATTCATAAAACCTAGACACTTCCCTCCATACATACACATTTTCTTGAAATTGGACCGACATTGTAGGAGGAGTAGTGTTTAATTGAAATTGGAAATTGGACCAGAACTATAAAAGCCTACAGGGGAACGGTTTTGAGAAAAAAAAACACAGAAAAAATATGCATCTATTTTTATTAACCATGGCAATACTGTAAATTGAAATTAAAAACCTATGTATAGCATGTGCAGATCTAGAAACTTTTTCCAGAGGTCCACACCAACTCAACCAAACATTGCACTCGGAAATTTTTTGACTTGTCCACACTTGAAAAACTGATTTCACGTGTGTGTGTGTGTGGGGGGGGGGGGGGGGGGGGGGGGAAGGGGTTGGAGACATGTCACTTTTCTTAGTCAATTTTCTTCAGATACATAGCTCTCCTTACCACATAATGTCCATGTTTCGGAGGAGGGGGGTGTTCCAAGGTCATTTTTTGGTAAGTTACTTTACATAGAAATTTTTTCACTCTGAAAATCTGAGGGGTGGGATCTAGACACCCCCAACCCCCTAGATCTGCACATGTACAGTCTACACAAGTAAACTACATCAAGATGTGCAGAAAAACATACATTATACTAAAATACAAAACAGAGTTATATATCTTAGTGTAGTCTACTTGTGGACAAGGCTTATGGACCAAAACTATTAAAGGATTGGCATTCTAAAAAAATTGTTACAGAAGGACAGATAGACATGTAAAAGGACAATGAATAGTTTGAATACCTTACAGTCCTTACCATTGCATAAGCTTTTCTGACCCTTAACCAGTAAAGCTTACAACGAGGCTCAGAAGCCACAATGCTCACCTGAGTAATATTAGCCCTTCTGGTGTCATAACAGTATTTCAGTTGAGGTTCACGTCAAATCATGGCTGACGCAAAATAATTCCTGAATCTTCCCTCCTGATTCGGGCATTTTGGCACGAGACTGGAGCTGAATTTTTTTATTTTATGAGATGGAAAACTATATGTAAACTTCCTGTATTGAGATTCATTATAATTTAGGGCGTGCTGATTTTTCTATATACTGTATTTGAGTGGGGAGTGATTAGATCCTGGACTTGATTTTCAAACACCTGCTCAACTTCGTCCAAAACAAACTTGCGTGCCTTGCTGGATGGCTATGTATTTTTTGGTACATGTACTAAAATCTTTATAAAGAATTGTTTTACAAGAACTGAAAAGGAAACCCTTCAAAAGTTTGTTTTGAATTAATACCACCTACTCAAAGTTGTGCACTTTTGCTAAGAATATATAGCAAAATCTAATACTGTTGTGACACCTTTCTGTTCTTCATCAGCAGATTCTTTTTCCTACATATTCGTATGTAAAACTTTGATCACTTTTTATGGCCTCACCCTACCCAATTGCCGAAGTGGTTACGATTTGAACAAACTTGAATCTACATTACATGAGGATGCTTACATATAAATATGACTAATCATGGTTTTTCTGTTCCTGGGGAAAAGATATTTAAAGACTTCTCCTATATTCCTATGTTAATCTTTGATCCCCCTTTCTGCACCACCCTACTCCCAGGGGTCACGATTTGAACAAACTTCAACCTACACTACCTGAGGATGCTTCTATATTAATATGACTAATAATGGCTTTGCTGTTCTTGAGGAGATTTTCAAAGATTTTCCCTATATATTCCTATGTAAAATTTTGACCCTGTTGTGGCCTTCCCTAATCTGGGTGTCATGATATGAAAAAAAATTGAATTTACAGTATGTAATGAAGCTTTCACACAAGTTTTATCTTTTCTGGTCCAGTGGTTCCTGAGCAAAAGATTTTTTAAAGATGCCACCAAATTTTCATGAATTCTTTATTATCTCCCCTTGAAAGAGGGCATGGCACTTCCTGTGAAAAAACTATAATTCTCTTTACTCAAGGATGCTTTGTGGCACGTTTGGTTGAAATTGGCCCAGTGGTTCTTGAGAAAAAGTCAAAAATGTGAAAAGTTGACATACGACACACAACAGAAAGATGCAGGACATTCTTTGATCAGAAAACTCAATTGAGCCTTCGGCTCAGGTGAGCTAAAATTGACAAGCATCTTGTCCAGAAAAATAGCAACAAAGTCTTAAAATGAATATTTTTTTTTTTCAGTCAGGAAAAGGTTAAAATATCTTGATTTGAGCCCAGAAAAGAATTCTTTTATTTTGCTCCTTAACACTGACACTTACTTATTTTCCCCTTGTTGAATACTCCGTGATGTGACTTTCTGGCCATCAATGAACACCCTGTAGTAGTAATGTTGGTAGGCACTGAGACCTGGTTTTGCTGATATACAAATGGAAAATGGTGTCACTGGCTGCTCCTAAAAATTTGAAAAATTCCCTCTCTGACTTAAATGTAACACAGGCATACATTTTTCATATTTTTTAATCACAAAAAGACCCCTTTCCCAAAAATTCTGGTAGGAGAAAAATTCATATGTAACACCAAGTGAGCCTATAAATTTTATCATCAACATTTATAGATTTACGACATGTTTGCCATTTGGCTCACCTGAGTTTCTATTTCATCTCCAACTTTTTCCTCTGTTTTCTGTTTAAAGCTGAAGGGAGAGAAGAAATCACATTCTACATAACACATCCCGGCACGGAGGTATTCTGGCAGGATTGTGTCGCCCACTAAAATACTCACAGAGAAATCCTCATTGGAAGGCATGCTGATGTCACATTTTTAGGAAATTATCTGGAAAAAATGAGACAGGAAAATTCATGAGAAACAGCATGATTTCCACAGATATCCAACGTAGAAGGAGAAAATGCAATGGACCAGACCACAACAGGATTCAAACACCTGTACCCCTACTAACCAAGCTTCTGGCCACCAGCTATCAAACCTGCCTGTCTGGCATCCGCCACAAGGTCATTAATAGATCAGTAATAAACACAGCCACATCTAACCTTAAACATGTTAAATAAATCATGTCTAAGTGTAACAAAGATTTTAAAACTGACAGACCGTACAAAGAGAAGTCAGGATTCGAAATTCACTATATACAACTCGCAAAACGCGAGTTAGAATTCCCAAATTGAGAGTTAAAAATTAGGTAACTCGCAAAAACTTGCGAGTTGATTTTTTTGCATTGAAACTGTAACAAAATTACATAATATGACAGAACACAATGCTTTTGATTTAAATCAGTAATTTAACTAAAGGTCACAGTGTAGTTGTATTTTGTGTATTGTACAGAAGTTATACTTTTTCCTTAAGTTACATGTACAGCAAGTATTTAATTTATATAAATTTAACTTTATATGAAAATTGCGAGTAGTCTTAAAAAATTGCGAGTTCACTTTCTTGGTACTCGCAATTATTTGCGAATTGTAATTTTAGGGAGTTTCTAACCCTGAAAGTCAATGTCATGTACAAAGTATGTTTATCACATTTATGAGTGGCAGTCAAGCAGGTCTGTTTGCCCGTAGCTTAGATGGTAGAATTCAGGTAGCCAGGGTTAGAGTCCTGCCTCCCAGCCCATAAAAGTTAGTAGAGCTCACTCTTATCTCATTCTACTTTTCCACTATATATTCCTTTGGACAAAAGTGAGGCTGAGATCCAAAAAGACCTCATCTAATTTTTATAGCCCCGTAGCCTGGCTTCACTTCGTAGAGCACCTGACTAGTGATGCAAAGGTCCCGGGTTCGATTCCTGGTCCAGCCATACATTTTCTACTTTCCTGTTACATAATTTGGTGATGTGACCACCCCTGGACTTGCATGCGAAAGTCCTACTAGTGGCAAAAGAACTTGGGTTGGTGCCTTTGAGGGCAAAGATAATTGAAGTAGGGAGGGATGTAATGGTTTGAGTAGTGGATATCGGCCTGGGTAGGTTAAAGGGAGCTTATCTATCCCAATTTCAGCATAGGGTATCTGGCGTTTACTTTCAAAGACAACAAAGTATTGATGAAAAGAAATCACTGTTGTTTACTTGTGCAGGGGAAATATATGCTACTAAAGTGTTCAATTATAGGTCCTAATTTATCTTGGCCTATTAAAATGTTAAGAATGTTTGGTTTACAAATCAATTTACAAATTGAGTAATACACTAATTTGATTTTAGATCTAGAGGCAGACTACTCTAACTGCATAAAAATATCCCAAAATCAGAACTCTTTAGTGTGCAATGTAGACGGGTAGAGAGGGTTCTTAAAATGTTATTTTTTTTTAAAGTCTGTGTTTTCTTTCAAATCATTTTTTAAGGAATTTAAACGGGTAATGATTGAATATTCAAGAAAAAAAACCGCAGTAACTATGTAAAACAGTGGGCCTTACGACAGACCTATAACGTTGATATCTACCAGTATATATTTGTAAAACCATACTCACACACTATAATGTCCGAATTCCCTCCATTTTTTCATTTGGCTATGGTTAACTCGGTCGTCAAAGTATTCGAGGCACTTGTGATATGTACTCCAGCATGCTTTTGACTTGGCGCCACGTAACATACATATAAGGAGCCACAGGTGCTTGAGGACAGGACCCCCCCCCCTCCCCGTGTTCCGTACCCCAAGGGTTCTTTGACTTTTTTATATAAAATATTTTTTTCACATTCACAAAGTATTACATCCAGGAAAAATCCAAAATATAACCTAAAACTAGCCTTTTATAAAAATTCACACTCTCTGATACTAAAAGTTCTCTTTTAGTATCAGAGAGTATGAAATTTTATAAAAGGCTATTTTATAATAGTTTATAGTTTTAAGGCTATACATGTACATGTATTACACTGCAGGTATGGTGTAATACATATTTCTTGAGAAAAGAACTACCCAAGGCGCTTGTTTCTCTCAATTCCCGCAGACATTTAACACCATCGGGTTTTAATATATTCAGCAGACCCTTAAAACGCGGGGGCCGGGGGGGGGGGGTTGTACTTTTGTTTGAGTATTGTCTTTTGTAGTAGTTTTAATATGGTAATTTTAATTAAGTAGATGCTGGTCCCCCCCCCCTTGTTGCTATAAGGTCAAACACTGGCAAATTTCAGTATTTGAAAAAAATGCACCAAAAGGTTAGAAAGTTCCAAACCCCCCTCCCCCACGCACACACCCACCCACAGAGTAGGATTTTCTTGTCAATTCTTTTTTAGGAGGTTGCCCCACCCCTTTCAAATTATTACCCCGAGCTTACTACCATGTATACCCATGGATATGGATAAAACAACCTCATATCTTCTCGTATGTTTAACTTTTGTAAAATTAAACATATAAAATTGATAAACGATAATTTTGTACGTAGTTGTAATCTCATTTGAAATTTGTAATAAAATGAACATTTTTGCTGTATTTTTGTCTGTAAACATATCCCCCAACCCTCATGAAAAGCTTTGAAAAGTATGAATTTGTTAATTATCAATTCATGATTTCTGAAAAATGAATTTTTGTTTCACGGAAGGGTGGGGTGGGGGAGGGGGGGGGGGGGGGATATGTTCCGTTTTCCATTGATTTCTATAGTGAAAAACACGTTTTACCAAAATTTTAGAGTTATCTCTCTTTGTTTTCTCAAATACTTAGAAAGTTGTATATGCTAGTATTGTGGAAAATTTTTATAAATATGAAAAATCATTCAAATATGTGAACTTTCAAAAATTGAATTGGATGTCGGCAGCAAAACAACACCATCGTTCGCAGTTCTTTTCAGTGTTGTCAATTTATAACATGAAGTGCGTTATATTTTACTTACTTTACATGTGAATTCAGAGACATATTTTTGTAATAGAGCATTTTCAATTAACTGCCGATTTTCAGAACCTGAGGATCGGACTACGTACCTTTTGATTTAAATCAAGTATTGCATAAATTGCCCGGCAATGCTCGTCGATATCGATTTAACCGAAGAAGAAAAACTGGACTTCCCCTTCCCCCAATCCCCCCGGCAGTATCAAATAAAAAAGCTTCAGACATCTGAGACAACATGATCTGAACCATAATTCCTTGATAGCTTCTAAAAACCAATGTTCACCCTACGCCCTCAGCATCATTATCAAGAAGGAGTCTCTGGGTTTTTTTCTCGTTAGAAAACAGACAATTAACCCCAAAACTGGGAGGGGGTGGGGTTATGTACACAAGGCCCTTTAAAAATTTACATATGTTACAAAAGTCCCATCAAAAATCAATTTCATGACTGAAATTGTTGTCATGGTTAAAATGGATATCACGATATGGTTAGTAATTTTTGGGTATATTTGTATTTCGACAGAACAAATATTATTTGTTTTATCCAGATCAATTTTATGGTTACCTTGATACTAAGAAAGTTTAAAAGATCTTGGGGGGGGGGGGGGGCAAAAAGAAACCGAGTTAATTAAAATCCAATTTGCTAACATCAACAATTTTAGGTACATTATAAAATCAACACAAGACTTAGGGTGAACACAGTTTGCAGAAATAAATACTGGTATATTTAGAATTTAAAACAGGTTTCAAAAGTGTGGTTCATGCGCTGATCTAGAGTTCTTAATTTTCTATGTAAAGTAACGAAAAAATGACCTTGGATCCCTCCCCCTAGGAAACACGGATCCTCGTAATATTGTAATATTGTAAGAATAGTCATGTACATGTATCTGAAGATTGACTTTCGAAAATGGCTTGTCTTTCCTCCTCCTTTCAAGACAATTAATGGCTTTACTTAGTATTCTGTGAAAGACGATGTCTTTACTTTATAAAAAAATCGATGGACGATGACTTAACTAAAACTGTTTGATGAAATATGACTTAGTTAATACTGTTTGATGGTCGATGACTTTTCTAAAACTTCTTTGGTGAACTGTCATGTTTGTAAATTTTAAATTTACCGCATGGTAATAAATACAAAAGGAGATGGGTGAACATGACGAGCGATAAGCCTATAGTGTGACAAACATGAAGATGAAAAATTGAATTGCAATTATATCAAAATTTTCCTTGATATTTTGTCTAACATTAAAATATACTTTATGTAAAATCTCTACAATTTGCAAAAATCCCTCAAAGTTTGAAATTATTTGCCTGTGAAATATTAGACACACACTAAAGCGGGCAAAAAGAGTCATTTTCGCATACTATAACACTATTTTTCGATATGAGTGGGTCTTCGCTCCACCTTTTTGAAAGTTAATCCTCAAAGTTTGCATAAAAATATACATTTTTTGGTTACCAAAAATATGGAGCAATGACCCACTATACCTTAAAAATATACTTTTATGACATAACATTCGCATCTTTTCGAGAAATACTTGAAGTCCATTAAGTCAAGGGTCATATAACAAACATGATTTAAATACCACTGTTCGTCAGGACTTGTGTAGTCTAGTGGTTAGCGTGCTAGTCTCGAAAGAAAATGATTCTCAGGATTTTTATTGCTAGGGTTCGAACCCCACGAATACCACATTACTTTTTTAAATAAAAGAATAAATTTTGCCGAGAAAATTTTCCTCAGAAAAGTTTTGTTTATCAAAATTACATAAATTTCAATAATGAGAACTTTACTCTAAATATTAAATTCACAAACTGAACATGATTTTTATATTTCTGAAGCTATAGGCTTTCTGCACGCTATGTTCGCCCATCTCCTTTACAACACGACGTCATTAATTCAAAACATGACTTTACTGAAAAAATGTTTGACGGTCGATGACTTTACTTAAAATTGTTTGACGTACGATGACTTTTCTTTAGATGGCTGATTGCTTTTAAATTACTTAAAATTGTTTGACGGACGACAATGTACATAATTATGTATTTAAGACTGTAAGATGGACGATGACTTGACTTAGGATTGTGTGACATACGGTGACTTTACTTAAGATTGTTTGCTGGTCAATGACTTGACTTAGGATTGTGTGACATACGATGACTTTTATTCAGATTTCATGATGGTCGATGACTTGACTTAGGATTGTGTGACATACGATGACTTCACTTAAAATTGCTTGATGGACGATGACTTGCCTAAGGACTGTGTGACATGCGATGACTTTACTTAAAATTGTTTGCTGGTCGATGATTGACTTAGGATTGTGTGACATGCGATGACTTTACTTAAAATTGTTTGCTGGTCGATGATTGACTTAGGATTGTGTGACATACGATGACTTTACTTAAAATTGCTTGATGGACGATGACTTGACTTTGGATTGTGTGACATACGATGACTTTTCCTAAAATTGTTTGGTGGACTCAAAAGGATTACAGGAATCCCAACAACACCAAAAAGATAAATGGAAATTTAAACAGAGCCCCCCTTTTCCTATATATTTCTCTGTATCTCATCCAGATGTTTTCCATTAAAAACATCAATAGTTTAATTAAGATATATATTTTTATTAACAAATTCAAATGTGATACACAAGTAATAATACATGATTCAATATTATAAAAATATGATGGCAATCGATGGCATGATTTCAGCAGAACCTCCACCCAAAACAAGTGGTGGATCTCATTATTTCAGCAGAACCTCCACCCAATATAAGTGGTGGATCTTATAATTGCAGCCAACCAGCATGGCTGATCTTAGCATTTCAGCAGAACCACCAAAGATATTGACAGATCTCAACATATACGTGCATAAATTATTTGTAATGAAACAGAATGTTGGTGGAACACAATCTTTCAATTTTAGAGAAAGATTTTTTTTTTCTTGATTTAATATTTGATCATTGATGTACATTAATTTAAAAATATGTAATTTGGTACTTAGAGAGTAGGCATGATCGTTACTGAATCCATTCAGATTTTCTTAATTAATATTGTTTAAAGTAATATAATATTAAAATATACTGAGGAAAGACGCATTTATCAGTATTATAATTGCTTATTGCTTTTATTCGAAGGTTATAGTATTTAATGAAATATAATGAACTGAATTATATACAATGAGCTACAGTGGATAAGAATTATGTCGGTATAGAATGACCAGTAACGAGAGAAGATAAAATGATATCCATTATATGTGTGTGAAAATTTGTTATTCCATTTATCATATTAAATTACTAGTTCCTTTTAGTATTTGCAAATGATCTGCCCATTCTATACACTGGGTTTTAATATGGGCGTCATAGCTTTTAAAAATATTTACCAATTGCTTGATAGAATACATAAAATACGATAAAAATAAAAACTGCCTCAGATATCAATGAATCATAGATATATAGACCCTTGATATTTTAAAAATGATATAGAAACTTGGCATCAACGATCATAAATGCCAGAAATGCTAGTTAATGCATTAAAAGCATTGATAGTCTGAACAAAATATCATAACAAGTATCAATGAATGCCATTTTCTTATAACTGTCAGTGAACAATAATTTTATTGGTCCCAAACATTCTAAAGAATTCGATAAAATAAAACATTTTCAAAAAGGTAATTTCAAAGAATACAACTTATACATGTATAACAGAATATATATCTTCATAAATACTAAGATAAATTAAATTGCCAAAAGAAGTCCAAGTCCACTCAAAAAAAAAAAAAAAAGAGAGCCCCCCCTTTTTTATGGCAAGAATTCACCTAAGAGAAATGGTGGAGGAAAAATCATGATTAAAATCATTCATGTTTTTCAATAACATCTTATTCAACTGGTCAACAGAAATGGAATGTATAAAATTACAATGAAAGGAATGTTAATATAAACAAATGAAGCTCGGTAAATGGCTATCAATACAAGCCTCAACTTAAAGAGAGTCATGTGATCGAATACAAGTACATCCTCAACTTAAAGAGAGTCAAGTAAATACTACAGTACATCCTCAACTTAAAGAGAGTTCAGTCAATACATCCTCAACTTAAACAGAGATAAGTCAATACATCCTCAACTTAAACAGAGTCAACCTGAGAAATATAAGAACATTATAAAGAATTTTCCATACGAAAAGCCAGGGTGTACAGAGATACTAAAATATAATATTTTGGCTTCACTACACCGTTTGGAAACAAAAACATAAACAATGCATGCGTCGTGGAAATTAAATATGACGGTTCCAGGGAATACAATTTGGTTTCCTGCGATAGCAACTTTAAATATTATAAAACCTTCAGTGTGATTTTCTGAGAAAATTCGGTTTGTATATAAATTCTACAATTGAAAATAAGATATTCTTACAAACATAAAATTCCTACTTCGCGGATCAAAAGATACAAGATGTGACATACGGCCATACGAGAAGACAACGATGGCGAAGTGATCCCTACGTGTTGCTCTCCTTAACAAGCGACTAAAAAAATCTTTGAACATCTACAAGTTGTTCCAACATAAGAAAAAAATAAACATGTTAATGATCAAACTCCCTGAACGTTAAAATATAAGTATGATGAGCTACATAAAACTCTGAAGTCTACAATGCTTGATATATAATCGAACACATTTTCTGAACTGTCACAAGGAATACAAGAAGCCTCACTTAAGAAAGCCATTATGTGGGATATTTCTTGTTTCTTTGGATGCCGTCTCCATCATGTGAAATAATAGAAATTGACAATTGTCTTCCGAACCCGAAGCACCTTCTTTAAAGTGTTACTTTAAGGAAGATCGTCGAATTCAAGAATTTGGCATGACAGTGTAATTTTCGCATTAAATGATGGATTCTCTGTTGACTGGTTCGAATCGCTCCTCATGACTCGACGTACTCGCCTGACTCGAACTCTGACACATGTGGAGTTCCAGTTCAGAAAGTCTGTGTTCCACGTCCCATTGCTGTCTGTGCAGTTTGGCGGTCATGGAAGCGTTTTCTGTTTCCAATGAAACCAAACGTTCTCGGAGCGTGTTGATTTCTTTGAGTAAAATGTCATTGGGTGTATCGTATGAAAAACTCTGTGGACTCACAGAGCCATAGTTCGATATGTTATACCCAGGGGATACGGGAACTAGAGTAGGCTGAGGGTGATTTTGTGGGGACAAGTTTATGTGAGAGGATGAAAGGTTATCTGACCTACTTGTGGCAAGACTAGGCGAAGACAGAGGATTCATTGTATTTGACACACAATATGGAGACAAAAAATTCATTTGTTGAGGATGGTTTTGAAACGGATATGTATGAGTGTACGTAAAACTCAGGGGCGATAACTGAGCGGGACTTCCGCCGGCGTTACTAAGAATAGGCGTTGCCGCACTGATGGTCGGTATGTTTGGAGTTTGGCACAGACTTCTGGGTGAGATCGGAGGACTATAACCTTGGTGTCCAATGGGCTGGGTAGGTGTTGTGCCTCCCGTATAGGACGTCATCGTCCCCACGTTGGTGACGTCACAATTTTCAATCTGTATTGAGTTCTGTTCAGCAGTAATTTCAGCGTGAGCATTTTCACCCGTTTCTGAGGAATTTTCATCTTGAGTCCCTTCATCACCGCTTGAGGATGACTGTTTTGGAAGACCAGCCGGAAGAGTGTGGTGACGAGTTATCATCATTGCTTCTAATGGAATTTTCCCGGATGATTCTACAAGTCCCGGGGTGCTCTTGCTTCTTGCCAACGCTGCAAAGTATTGAATACCAAATTAGTAAAAAAATAAAACCAATTGAGAGTCAATAGTCTGTTTATGCTTGTTTTATGTTTGACTACAGAAGAATGTGTGAAAATAAATTATTTTCCCCTATAATATTAATATTCTAGGGATCTTAACTTGATTTAGCATTATAGCATAGTTGGCTTATTCAGTAACTTTGACTTTAAGGTTCAACGATACTCTGAAAAGAGAGATAACTCTTAATGACATTTATGACTATTATTCCTTTATGAATTAGTCCAGTATGAAGTGTCTTTTTTGTCCATATTTGCCCAGCAAGCTATGCCATAATTGTTTGTATTTTACTTATGAAATACATTTCTTTTGGAAAATCAGAACAGTTAAAGCAAAATTTTATGAGTGAGCAGAGGGTTTATGAACCTTAAAACATGTACATGTAAGTAAACTTTAAATCCAAAGTTAAATGGTACACATCAGTGTTTATGAGTTGTATCATCAGTACTTATGAGTTGTATATCAGTACTTATGAGTTGTATATCAGTGCTTATGAGTTGTATATCAGTACTTATGAGTTGTATATCAGTACTTATGAGTTGTATATCAGTACTTATGAGTTGTATATCAGTACTTATGAGTTGTATATCAGTACTTATGATTTAAATCGTGATGTACCTTTTTCAATCGGGATCTTTTTAGTTTTCTCTAGCCTTTTAACAGCTATTGCTTCAAGTTTCACCCTAGCTGCTGGATATTCTTTTAAAACATCCCAGAGATCTTGTTTTGAGAGTCGGAATAAATCCGAATATCCAACAGAACGAACCGAAGCCGTCCGTCTGTTACCAGAAGTGCCCATGTTAAGAATGCTGATTTCCCCGAAATAACTTCCGGGTTTTAGAGTAGCAAGCACCGTTTTCCCGTTGTCGGCGACCACGTGCAGCCTCCCTCTGTTGACTATGTACATTTCCTTGCCGACCTCACCTGTAAATAGTCATTTCCAGAATTAGTAACAAATGAGAGATACTTAAGAAAGTGTTTTATGCATGAAGTCCTGCAGTCTAGATACAAAGAAATACAGTGAGTTGGAACTTTTTTTACTAGTTATTTTGGCTAGGAAGCGCAGACTTGATGTCACTGTTGAGCATGATGTACTAATGTTTACTTTGGCAGCTGCAATTTCTCGATCCTTCGAACGAGCTTTTCGAAACTTGCCAGAAAGATTCGAATAGTGTGACTGTGGTTTCGGACGGCCACTAGAGCGAAAAAACAGTCGGCAAACGGCGTGGAACCGAACTTCTTATAGAAACTATCATTGTTCGTGGGGGATCAATGTTCGTGGATTCGTGGGTCATCCTTATCCACGAATTTACATTCACACAAACTAAGCCTTTATCAACTTCTTTAGTATTTATGAATTATCCACGAATTTTTTGTCCCCACAAACCAGAAAACCCGAATTTTGATTGCCCACGAACATTAATATTGGCCTTCATAGATTAAAATGATTCCACAGTGTGTCCAACAGAGACTCGTAAACAGCTCTCTGAATTCATGAATTTCCAAAATACGATGGAAATGTTTGATAAAAGAAAATTATTTACTTTGATCCAGAAATATATATTATGATTTCAGCTAGGGTCTTAACTTAAGAATTATTCAAGAAAGAATAAGCCAATTAGATTATATTGGTCTCAATCAAATATAACAAAACCTGTATATTTCTTTATTTTTATGAAATACAGACGGGTTTATGAAATCAATTAAAAGCAAGCATTGACCAAGCTTTGTATCATTAAATATTAATTTTCAGGCTGCTAATAATATTTGATGCTTCATTTATCTGGAGAATTAATCCATGTATATTGTCGCTATTACAACGTAGATAAGAATGTACGCTCTTAAAATTAATTAAGTTCCACCAAAGATCTCGGCGATTTATTAATTATTGATGTTCTTATTTGAAAATGGCCAATGTAGAATGTAAGTATTGAGGGAGTGCTTTATCAATAATAGAACAATCGTCTTCATATGTATACATATCCCCTCCAACTAGCATCAATTGATGAAAAGGTTTACCGGTAAATAAGAAATTCTATTCATAGATATACAAATTTATTAAGGCAAATATCCTCTTTGATAAAAGCTCCAATGTTTAAAAGAGCAATTGCTATTCGATATATTTTTCCTAACAAAGGTCTTCCTGTGAAGTCTTGCAAATACAAAGAACGGCGGCCACGATGCTCACTTGAGAATTATTGTTATCATATTCTCAAATGATCTTTATTTTTTTGACAAATAAGTCAAAGGATAATATAGACTGATGATTCCATACTCTTATTTGCATGCGCTATTAAATTTCATGAATTATAGTCTTATATACTTTTACAGTATACATCATGCAGACAGTTTTTATCTTCCAATCGAAAAATGCTGTACATATCCATATTCTAATCCTGCTAGGGGAAATGAAATAAATGTTAATATTTTAGTTTGTTTTTTTTTTAAAGAATTTATTTATATGCACTGTATATTTCTATGCAAAATTAGAGGTATTTTATTGTCCAACCCCATTTTTAAAGCCATAGTTTTAACGATAACGAGAATGACTCAATATTGATTTGACTGGTCGCAGCCTTGAAAATATCAATTTCATTTTATCTTGTTCCTTCAAAATTCTTCATCCAAAATCTTTCACCCTCCCAGAAAAAAGACGTGTGAGAATCGCTGACCCTGGCACGAAGAAAACATCATCGATCTCTTCATCCTAATTTAATTCCGCTAACACCAATCTGAAAACGAGATTCCTCCGCGGGGCAAGTGCGTTCGCCGCTCGACCTTTTCCTAGATATATTTTCAAATATAGCGAATAGATTATCCCCTCAGAAAACTGACATTTTTCTTTTGTCCATCGAAGAAACCAATAACGCGTCATATTGTCATGCAAATACAGAAAGGAAATATTTGCCACTGCAAGTCACGCCAGTGCTTTAAACATCGACAAATTGAAACAGCGACCATAAAGCGAGACATTTGTGACTTTGTCTTTTGTTCTTTTTTACTGTTTCATTAAATACAAAGTAATCAATAAGATTCTCTGAATTGACCAGAGGCGGTGGTTCGAAGTAGAAGGCCGCGTTTTTGTCTCACACCATCACTCTCATAAATATGTATGGCAATTAACCCTTTCGACTTTGAAATCTTTCATTGCCGCCTTTTCCGATTCAGTGATTCATTTTGAAAATGGTTATCATGGGTCCAAAGGACCCCTCTGAATGAAAATAATGAGTCCCATGCCAAAATCAATGCGTCCAAAACCAAGGCCCTAGGGTACTGCATATTAAATACTACAGAGGAAATTCTGGTGAAAATATAAATGGATATTGCACGAAAGTGCTAATGTTTTATTGTAACTGTGAATGGTCTATACTTTGACTATTGAATTGGAAGTAAGAATAAATGATTTTGTGGCATAAAAATAATATATTGTCAACTGTGGACCTTGTTTCTATGTTTAGATCATAACTACGATCTTTGTCATAAAAAGCACAGAAGCAGATCAGTTGTTCTATTAAAAAAAGTAAAGAAAGTTTTTTAAAAAATGAAAAATAGTTAGAAAGAAAAATGATCATATTTTATACATGTACGTCTTGGCTTCTAAGGAAAAAATTAAAATATATAGGTTAAATTATATCTTAATTACAAAGGTATAGCCTAATACACGCAGGGACCTATATAGTCAGTATATAGGTCCCTGGTACACGTATACGCTTCAAAAATGTTCCACAGTAGACATAATCTAACTATGCTATCTTACTTCTAAATATTTTCTGATAATTGCTTGTATATGCAATTTAAGAGTGAATTGTCAAATCTGACCTGTTGTTGGCAAACTTATACCTGTTCACTCATGCATATCGCTTAGCGCGTGGAAATGATGCAATCGGTCAAGCTTTGAATCAGATTATATGGAAACAATTTAAAATAATAAATGTCCTTCTATAAATTCATTGCGTCCATTGGGATGCACATTTATTGAAATAATGCGTCCTGGGCAAAATCTGTGCGTAATTTACGCAGGACGCACACCAAAATGAATCACTGCCGATTTAGAGGTTTCTGTGGCCAAGAAATCCTTTATTATTATTTTTTCTTTGTTATTTCATTTCTTTCTTTTTTTAAACAAATCAATCAAATCATTTATTTATAAAATGTTATTTTCTATTTCAATGTTGCATTGCCTTACAGTCATTTTAAAAATGTTTATCATTAAAAAAGGAACTTTCTTTCAGTTTATTTTCTTATCTGTTTTTATGATGGTTTAAAAGTCTAATCACTTTTTCTATAAATGGCGCCTTTAAAGGAAAGTCTTTAGGGAATGTCTACTAATTATCGTTCCTAGTTCTTCTGTTGGCGGTCGAACCGTGAGACTGCAATCTACATTTAACGGAAAATACAACACAAGGCATAACTTAACATATGAAACAATCCAGGATGTGAAAATAGTCACTAACAGTTGATGCTCACCAAAGTCAACCATTCTAATAATAATTTTAAAAGATTTAGGCAATTTGCATGTACATGTATATAAGTTAATCAATTTAAAAGCTATGTTTTTTCCTATACAACTTACAGAATCTCCAAGTCTCCATTTCCTCAAATTGATTATAAATACAAAATACATCAAAAAGACATTTGAAACGTATGATGATGATGAAAACTTTTAAAACCGAACACATACAAATTGATTACACAGTATTGTTGCAACCCACATTTTTCGCTTTCACCATTCCCCTATTTTTTTTCTTATTTCTTTATCCCCATATTTCATATAATTCTAAAGCTGTTCTCTTTTGAAAATTTTCAAATGATATTTCAAGGAACTATGGGAATACACAAAGTGAACCTGTTGGTGCATTATAAACTAATCTGATTTATTGTTATGTCAAATACAAGCATGTCTGCAATATACACGCATTTCCTTTTACTAGCATTTTGTCTCTGTTGCCGTGCACTCCCTGACATAACAAGGAATTTAATTGCATGTCAATACATGTGAAACGGCAATAAGCGTAGTTAAAACGAGGTTAATCTAGCCTGCAGAAAGGGACTTCTCTTAATTAGCAATTCAAATCTCCAGTCGTAAATTCAATAACATGCAGTACCTTACAAAGCGCTGTAGTTGCAGAGTTAAGAAACATCTTTTAGTGCATAAGTTTACGTTCTTATCAATTTTATTGACCATTTTCTGTAAATAGCAAGAGCTTGCAGACCTTGATGGTCACCATATCATTATGATTATTTTTACAGGCTTTTTGATAAGTAACCGTTTAATCATGTACACATGTATTACTGTACATCACTAAATTTTCGTGGCACCTTATTTTTGCGAGATAGTCAATGTCGAGACAGAATATTCACAAATTGTGGTTATTGCTCCATATAATCATAAGGATTACTATTAGGCCTATACGCGAGAATGGAATTTTCCCAAAAACACTGTCTCGCGTATTTACGCGAAAATAAAATTCTCGCGAATAAAAAGTGATTTACGGTAAATGTTGTTCCTGCTACTCTGTTATAGAATAACTACGAGGACAAAATTTTTGCATTTTCCTTCCAAATACATTAACACTTTAGTCACATTCACGACAAGAACTTTCCGCATAATTATGTATTTTTTTTAACAGTGAGATTCTACATTTTGTCTCATTTAAAGATCTTTTTTTCAGTTTTTTGAACGTTATTGGTGTGTCTGATAACGTAGGCATATTTTATAAAGCGGGCTACTAGCATAAATGTATTACCAATGGAGCCTATAGCTAGCCGTGTATACGGTTTAAACCTTTAGACAAGGACTACGATCGAATTCCACATTTTGATTGGTGAATTGCTTAATGACATTAAGATGATTTGGTTAAAAATAAAGAGTAAAAGTTTGCCTTTACTAGAGCTGCGTGACTTTAGTTTTTCCATCATCAATTTCCGTATTTATACAGTAATATTCCACAATAATTAACATGCATTAGAAGTTTTTGTTATACCTTTAAAAATTGGTTCCTATATAAATCTATACTAAAAAGTCTAACATTTCCCATGTCAGTTGAGCGGTCATAAAAAATCGATGTTTGACCGCAGAGAGAGATACTGGACCTGCCGATGAGATATTGGACCGCTTGCGTCACACTGTGGACGGTACATGTATCAGCTAAATCTTAGTTGCATTCGTTGGTGTTCGCAGTGAGAGAACTGACCGAGTTTTAGTGCAGATAAAGGAAATTTACATCATGAAAGCCAGCACAAGATACAAGATGTCCAAAAAAAGTAGGGATGTCAAAATATTTATTTTCCTTAGTCGATTATTCGGCTGCATTATTCGAACGATAGTCGAATATTCGGAACATTTTCTGAAAATAGAATTTTATTTCAAACTTCGCTGGTACATGACGTATTTATAACTCAAAACCCCTTTAAGGTATGTCACTCGTGAAATTTGTTATATCAAGGATTTTTTGAGAAGTATATTTTGGATAAGTACTCATATAGTATGACTCAAAATCGCAGAGAAAATGGGGGGTCAGTGTACATCTAACTGAGCTACGGTACAATTAAGTTGACCTTTTTGCACTTAAATTGTAACTCTTTGGTTAATCACTTTAACCGTTATCATATTTTATCAGATGTAACCATGGCAATAAACATAATCTTATTTTACGTAAAATAGTTTGAATAATATTTATCATTGAACAAATCATGCAAATTAATGCGCGTAAATTATTGTGTGACCTTTTTGCACTAAAAAAGTCTCATATTTGGGGTATTAAAAATCTAAATAGGCAATAGAATATTTTCTTGTATCAAACTTTTTACGACTTAAGTGCTGATCGGTCAAAAGTATCGAGTAGTTTAAAATTATGAAAGAAAAAGTTTGGGTCAGTGATGTAAATTTTGAAATATTGGTGGTCAATATATGCGATTTTCTGGCAAAAAACTGTGTAAATTTTATCTCGACTTCCTTAATATATCTTCATTTCTTGGCAAAGTTTGTTGAGCGAAGGTGTAAATTTTGTTATAAAAATATAAATTGAGACCTATATTTAATATTCCAGGCGTATCATAACGGAAAATATTCTCTGAGTAAAAGTATGTGAGGCTAAAGTTCCAAGATACTAAATTTAATAAATGTGTAGATTTGCAGAATTTTCTGCTAAATATCCTTCCACCACAAGAAATAGTCCCTTATAAATCTTGCTTCTTTATGAATTTTTGAGCAGTTTTTTAATTGAATGTTGAACATTTTACATGTACATTGTTTAATTTAAATATGTTATAAAGATTGAATTCTAATAAATAGTTTTTAAGTTAGAGGTTCTGACTGAAATTTTCTAAAAGGCTGACGAGTGACATACCTTAATTAAATTAAATCAATCTAAAAGGTAACAGCAAAATTAATGCAACGTGTTTATAGTATGATTATATGAAATAAATTAAGACAGCTTATTCTCCAAAATTTATGATTTTCCCGTCATTAAATTCGTAAATCGGTCTGTTAAGTAAATTTTTATTTCAGTAAGCATTAAAAAAATTGCCGGCCAATATTTTTAAAGCTGAAATGAATCGGGGGGGGGGGGGGGGGGTTATCTCACACTATCCAATCCAAACATCAGGTGCCTGTGATATTGTTAAACAGTTAGATACTGATTATTGAGTTATTGGTTGCTCCGGCTATCAAAATGTCATTAAAATGTAAAAATAAAATTGTTTTAATAATTATTGAAATGTCAAATCATGTCACGACTATGGTGTGTTCCTTGCATTTGAACAATCTTAAAATAACAAAATATAATTGGTACATGGTATAAGATCAAATCCAATTAATAATTTTACAAACAAACAAACCCCAGTATATTGATTGATAATTTATTACAAAAACAACACAAACAGTCAGTGACAGAATAATAATTCTCGCGGTAGTGAAACGCATATAATTATATAATTACTGTACTTTCTATATGTACATGGAAAGTCAACCGTTTTTGTTGAGAAAAATTGTCTTGTCGAATGTCGCTGAGGAAAGACGTTTTATTAATTCTGAGATGAGAATTCCATTTCGTTATCACTCTTTTACTGTATTTATTTATTAATAATACTAGACTTTGACCCGTGCGTGCACGGGTTGACATTGTTATGAATGCATCCATGTGCATATCGGACATTTACAAAATAGATACATCGACACATTCATATTGTAAGGTATTTTTGAAATAAACAATGAATGTGAATATAATTCTGTTTTTTTTTGTTTTGTTTTGTTTTGTTTTTTTTTAAATTGTTGCGTAACGGCGTAGCGCAGAATGGGTTTGACCACCAGTTAGCTATAAATCAAGTCTTGAGTTCGAATCACGCCGGAGCTTACATAAATTTCACCTTTCCAAACAAATTTAATAAAAGAAATTATCATAATGGATGTTCATTGAAAATATGACAACAGCAAAGAGTTGAGCACACTGCTGATACATATCAAGCAAAGTAATGAAAATGAAGAAATGTGCTAAGCTGGTATTTTTACACAATCAGTTATTAAACTAAAGGTACCAATTTTAACACTGCAGGTCTCAACTTGTTCAAAATATGACCTCAAAAATAAAAGAGTTAAGCACTGCTAATACATATACTTTATATATACACAGGTAATAAACAGGTATATAATCTGTAAAAGACTGTCTGTTTTGATAAAAATTATTTAAATTAATGTAATATCCTTGAATTAGTACATAGAAAAAGTAATAAAAATAGAAGCTTAATTGAGAAAAAATAAAAACAAATTGGTAATCTTCAAGTACCAATGATGTTTAAAATATATAAAACAAAAGACAGTATTCTTCCGATTTATCGGTATTAAAGGCCAAAAATTCGAGTCTATAATTTTTATATAGTAGTTATTGTAATTTTTGGCGGAAAAAGAATGCCTACTTCCCTAAGATGTGATTCTAACTGGAGTTGTAACACCCCCCCCCCTTCAATTCCCTTCAAAGAAGCATAAAAGAAAGGAGGGATAAAATAAATCGGGTAGTAACATTGATATTGCTCCTACGATCATGAGCTTTTTGCCTCCGTTGAGATGGCCAGCGATATAAATAACATATAATAAATGTGTCTCCGAGATTGATTACCCACGTGGCCACAATATCACATTTGTATGGATATAAACTCAGAAACGATTACGATAATACAAACATATAGGCGTCAGAAGCAAATTGAAAGTGGGGTGGCTATTTGAAATGGGGGGGGGGGGCTAAACCAACGAAAAAAGGTAAGCCCCAATTTTCAATGCCTATGTTATGTCCCCCCCCCACCCCGGTTCCGACGCCTATGACAAATACGTGTAAATTTTCATTGGAAATTTGCTATATATTCTGTTCATACATATTAATGATTTCTTATTAGAGAAATTATACAATAACAAATATATATCTACTTAGTATTTACTTTTGTCTTCTCTGATTTGAACACACTCTCGACCAACGGCTCATACATTCATGTATGAGCGAGAAACGAACGACAACTCTGCAAGGGAGATTGGTTTGAATACCGTGATTTAGCATGAATGTAATGCGCACGCGCAAGATTGTGAAATCCAAAAATTCCAGATGATTTCCGGAATTTTTTTGAGGAATTTTCGTTGATTATCAATTAGCGAAGCTTAATTGAGAAAAAATAAAAACAAATTGGTAATCTTCAAGTACCAATGATGTTTAAAATATATCAAACAAAAGACAGCACTCTTCCGATTTATCGGTATTAAAGGCCAAAAATTCGAGTCTATTATTTTAATATAGTAGTATAGATTCGAATGTCGTTTCATTATTCGATCGTCGGTCCATTCGACTGATGGTCGAATAGTCGACTATTCGTTGACATCCCTAAAAAAAAAGATATAACAAAGCATATATTGACTGTGTTCTCTCAGTGTTCAAAATGCATTTTGTTGATCCCTCAAACCAAACTGTTTTCCTTCGGCCTAACGGCCTCTGGCAAAAATTTGGTTCTTGGGTCCTACAAAACGCATGCTGCCCTCTAATCCAGTCAATAAATGTACGATGTATCCCAACTGATTGATACTTAAAAGCATGTTCTGAGCATTGCAATTTTTTAAACAGAGGCAGGCTACTGACAAATAGGTTGATGTTACAGGGTTTTCAACTTTCTCGTTAAAATCAGCATTTCGAAAAGTTTGCGGTCGTTATAATGACCTTATTTGCAAAAACAATCTATTGCTGATTCGTATTTTGACTATTTCCTATAAAGTGTTAGGCCATTGTTTATACCATCTTAACTACGGATTACTTCAATTACCTGATCAATACAAGGGGCTAAAGGTGGGTGTGAATGGTTGACAATAGATGTTTACTCCTATGCACCTGATCCAACCTCTGGCGTTTCCAGGGGTCTGTGTTTTTTACCTGTTCGTGTTTCGTATTCCTTACTGGATTTATGAAATTGATCACTTATCGTTATCTTCACCTTTTACATTTGACAGGTAAATGAATCTTTGAGCTCTCCATATTTTTTTAAAATATCTTTTAACATACATTTATTTATATCATAAACAAAAGAATTTTTTTCCCTTCAAAATATGAACTTATAAAACAAAATATCTAATACATCCCTTAAAACAATATGACGTCATTACCTTTCCTGCATATATAATCCCCAGGAGAGAAGAGCACGGGTTTAAGGCGCAGCACCAGTTCACACAAAAAGCCGGCATCCGTGTTCTGGAAGATCTCCACTCGTTTTAGAGTGTCTAGATGCACGTGTATGGCGATTTCCGCTTTGAGTTTGTCCGGCAGAAGGGCCAAAGTTTTCTCTTCGTCCGTCGATTTGTTGCAGTACCATAGGTAATCAAACCATTTTATGACCCGGTCCTGGAGGCGGATGGGTACCCGTCTTAGTGACATATACGTCTTAACCCCATCCAATTTTCCTGGAAAAAAAATAAATACAGAATATCGTAAACAAACTGACCATTAGTGAAAAATGCTTATTGCCAATAAAAGTTAGTTAACAGTTATTGATAGCCCGGTGAAATAATTGATTGATCGATTAAATAAAAATTTTCTTATGTAACTATGATTATGTGCAAGAATAACGGATCAGTTTGATTTTTATGTCAAGACACCAGCTGGGTCTATAGGTATCAAAGTAAACTCTTATTTCTAGAGTTCATAGAAAATTATAATCATTTATATATTTTATATTCCATAAATGATTTCAAGAAAAATTGATGCGAAGCATGCACAGATAAATAAAAAAAAATATCGTTGTGTAATTTGCAGCTGTAGCATATTCAAAATAAATTTCACTAGATTTATCAACTTTTCAATTTTTATTCATCACTTTTGCTACAATTGTAATATTAGTATCCGGAAAGAAGTTGATATATTATACACTCCCATGTTGGGGAGTAGCTACCGGTATTGTACTCTTTTTGTAAATTCAAAAAATCATAATTATCTAATGAGAATAAAATTGAAAAATATAACAGCAATTAAAATTTCGTTTAAAGCAATTATTTAAGTTGATTTACTCCTAATTTTTATCCATGTTTTCATTAACGAATTATTTTACCGAACTAATAAAAAATAACGTCTCAATTCCCCCAAGTGCACTTTCGAACGCAAACAGATCGGCCGCTCCTGCGGTCGATCATAAACCACGACAATAACCATGTATGTAATATATGATTAATACGGACATTTAAATTTCAAGAAATCATATGATCTCTCCTCATGAAGAAAGAAAATGCCTGTTACGGAGTTCATGACCTTGGTGATATTGTGGTGATCAACATCTGTGTTCGTAAAGATGATAATATAGATTGATGGTGTTGATTATGCTAAGAAAGGAAACGATGATAATTTCTTTTCGACACAGATCACAAAATCAGAGACTTTGACATAATTTCGTATTTGACATTTCTGTACTAAAACAGAGTATTGTGACGTAATTTCATGTCTGACATTTCTGTACTAAAACAGAGTGAACCTTATGAATAACTACAAATACATTATATATTGTATCATCATAATCGAAGAATCAGCATTAAATTCTCTTGACCTCCCCCCCCCCCAAACCCTCCCCCATAAAATTCATGAAAAGTTTAAAATAAAATGGAAGATAGTGAACATGTTAATTGCATTTAAACACTGAGACTTCCTGTCGCCTTTTTCGTCACATATAGATTCTACTCTCTACTTTTGACAACTACTTCATTAAATTATATTCATTCAACTAAAAGCATAAAAAAACATGGTGGATATAGCTGTCAGGAGTGCTATAAAGAAGAGGCAAAGTATTTTGCAAGTTGATTTCTCTTAATAATGTGGACAAAAACATCCATATCTGTCTAAATCTTTACATTGTCTAAAATATTTCATTTTGCCTCATTGATCATTATTTGCTTAACGCTCCGCAGTTAAAGCCATCTTCCTTCGAATCTACTCCGCCGCAGATTCGCCATTGGATTAGTCTCCCTGCATCGCCACCTTAATTAAGCCCCATAAGGAAGCAAATCAAACATGGCTTCTCCTGAATTATAGCGACAGAGGGTGAAAAAAAGGTCCTTAATCACTACTCGCTCTTATTTTGAGCAACTGTGATTCTTCATTACTACAATAAAGTAGGAAAATACGTCCTTTGGTACTAATATAGATGACTGATTACAAAAGGTCGAGATTACGAAACTATTTGAGGGATTCCGAATGTAAAACTCTTGTTGCGACATAGATGCTGGAAACATTCATTGGATTTTTATGGAGATGCACATCGGTTTTGCATGTGACTTTCATGCCAGTAACGGTTTCATTTATTTGTCTGTGAAGGTCAAAATTGAAATACAGCAGCTACAGCTTTTATTGGGAACAATAAAACAAACTGGGTTTTTCCTTCACGGGAGAAAAATGTTTTTCAAGCATTTTATTCACATTTTGAATTTTTTGCATATGTGCAAGCGGTTCGCGTAACGGTTTTTTAGTCTCACTTAAAAAATAAAGGAAATAGATCTACAAATCAAAGAAAACTGTTTATAATTTAGGGATTTCAGTCTCCCGTTTACGAACAAACGGCGGAAGAACTAACAAGTTTGTGACCTTGACCTTTGACCCTTTCAACTCAAAATTAATAGGGGTAATGTTTTAATTATAAACAGTTATTGATGTGAATCTGAAAAACACTTCAAGTTCAAGTTCAAGTTCTTTATTTCTTTGCGTCATACGACACATCAGATTACATATATTAATAACGAAACATATATACAATATTATAAAATATAACAATAAGAGAGTGAGCATAATCAATAAATAGCAAGTAAACTATGTAGGACGTGTTTTCTAACAGGCAACTGTAATTATAAAATACTTAAAAATTTACAAATGTTTCATTCTTCTAGTGGAAGCTTGATATAAATATTTTCCAAGGTTACAAAGTTCCTTTATATTTTGTACACTTAGAAGTTGAATTAATTTCCAAACACTGGATTTCTTATAATAATACTTTTTCAAATACTTACCATACCATACCATATATGATTTCTTTACTTTGACCCCAAGAAATATCATCCGAAAACTCTTTCATAACAGATATGAATATATGACCTTGACTTTAAATCTATGGTTTGAAAATCAATAGGGATTTATCTTAAATTAAGAGTCATAATATTAATTATTATATTAATTTTCGTTGGAAAAGCTCAAGAAGTTATCATCTGGAAATTTTCTATGAAATGTATGAATTTCTGACCTTAACTTTGATCTTTTGACCTCAAAATCAATAAAAAGTCTTTTTAAGCCATTGGAAATTCAAAATTAAAAGCTACAGCATTTCATTTCAACAGCCAAAGGACTTGTGAGAAACTAAAGCGTATACACAGACAGAATGACGGACAGACAAACAGTCACAGGTAGACTCAAATTGCGAAAACGGGGGCAACTAAGCAGTCACAAATGCTTAATATGAAAAAAATACTGTCTTATTTTATATTTCGCATTTTTGTTATTTTATCTACAAAACAGATTTTTTTCTTTTATATCAAACTTCTTTTAAATACAGTTTTATAATTATATCTACACCACATTGGTATACGTATAGACTTTCATTACTGTTGATATTCTAGACCAATAGATCATATGTCGTTTTTGTTTACAGTCAGGCTTTCGTCAAGTCCTTGCTATGTTTAGCTAAGATATATGTGCCTGTCAACATATTCTTTTCTTTCTTTCTTTTTTTACTACAACAGACAGTATTAACACTCGAGATTTGATTTCAGATGCCCTAAATCAATTTAAAGCCCATTGTGGTAGCATATAATTAATCAATGCTTTCTTAAATAACATATCGCACGGATTACTTTCAATTAAGTATGAAAGGAGCACGTGCTTCAGTACTCAGAAAACGTAAAGAATTTTCCAATCCCTTACAATTGTGTCCATATATACATTCTGTAAATTTCTATTAATGTACATTAAGTAAATCATTAATGACGTTTGAAATGTAAACAAAGTCTGAATATTACTTGTTACAGTGTCTTGGGATAAAAACCTCATAATTACGTCATGTAACGGTAATATCAAACATTTGCTTAAGAACAACTTTATTGCCACATGATTTGTTTAATTCATTTATTTTTGTATTTATATGCTTCATAAAATATTGAATGCAAATTTTTGTCGAATGTTCCATTCTAACGTAAAAATCAATGCTAAAACAAATGTTACGTCAAGGCTATACACGGCTGGGGAATTAAAATCTTAGGGCATGTGTACTCAATATTAATGCATATGTTCAATTTACTTCTATCTTCTTTAGTACTTGAGAGAGAGAGAGGAGGGGGGAGAGAAAGAGAGAGAGAGAGATTGCATCAGCTGTATATGTGTAGGTTTTGACAATCTCTTATTTTTTAATTACACACCTACATGCCACTAATTTAATGCACTGAATGGACGAATCGATTGTCCAAGGACAAATGAAGAAGTCAGACAGAAGCCTGTAGTTGATTCAATCCAATATTCACCGTTCAACTCAAGGTTAATTATATTGTGAAAAAAGAAGTGAAATGGATACCGTGTGGGCATTGTCAAAGCCTGACACCTTTTAACTGCTAGTATATGTACAAATAGACAAAGGCGTCAATTCTTTTATCTATGCAGTATGCACAGACTACAAGGGCGTCAACATTTGTATCTATACTCAGACTATAAGTAAAGGCGTCAACATTGATATCTCTATACATATTATAAAAGATCAATGCACAAACAAATAGGGCGTCAAAAATATACAGACTCAGGACTAATATGTCTATTCTCAATAGGATGTCAAAATATTGAAAAGCACAACAGATTTATAAAGCTGCAGAATACCACTGATTATATATAGATGATAACATAAAAAGTATTTAAAATTTAACTGTATAAAATGTTGTATGGATACTATTTATAAAGGTAACATTCAGAAACTCCTTTTAAAAGAAAAGGAGATTACACAAAAACTTTCGAACACAGAGAAAAAAAAATAGAAATACTATAGTACGATAATCAAAGAAAGTTTAATTTTTTTCGTTATATTCAGTTTTGGTTACTATAGGAAACACTAAAACTGCCATCAAAGGCAAACAGTTTTTATAACTTTTATATCAATAACACTGACCTTTTCTTCTTGAATTTTGACCTATTGATTACCCCAATGTTCAACCACGTGGTGAAAAATGAACTCGTTTGGTTAAAACTATCCGACACATTCTGTCACATGCAATAGCCCTGACACTTTGGCCTTGATGTTTGATCAAGTAGTTAGATTTAATATATCAGATTACATCAATACTTGTACAATGCTTGTATCAGTAATTATAAAAAACTGACCCCGACTTCTGGCAACCTGATCCTTGCTCCAAGCATCTTCCTACGTTAATAATACGATATACAGTAATTTCTC